ATGGTGGTTGGTTTTCAGGGAGAGATGGGTTAACTAATGTGAGGGCTGATGATGGTAGGTTGTCAGGCACAGATTGGTTAACTAATGTGAGGGCTAATGGTGGTAGGTTGTCAGGGAGAGATGGGTTAACTAATGTGAGGGCTGATGATGGTAGTTTGTCAGGCAGACACAGGCGGGTTAACTAGTGTGAGGGCTGATGGGGGTAGATTGCCTGGCAGAGATGGGTTAACTAATGTGAGGGCTGATGGTGGTAGATTGCCTGGCAGAGATGGGTTAACTAATGGGAGGGCTGATGGTGGTAGATTGCCTGGCAGAGATGGGTTAACTAATGTGGGGGCTGACGGTGGTTGGTTGTCAGTGAGAGATGGGTTAACTTATCTAATGCAAACACACACACATGACTACAAAAAACATCAAGCAGACATTAAATCCACTGTCAAACAACGAATACGAATTATATATATTTTTTTTAATTTTACTAAGGAAACAAACTTAAACTGGAAAAGTGAAATGATGATAAAGATGGGTTTGAATTGTTTTCTTACTCAGTTGCTATAAATAGAATATGCTCATTGGATTGCAGATCTTTCCGCTGCGATTTCAATGTAAAGAAGGCATCAATGACGTCATGAAAGTCAAAACTTGTCAATGTAAAGAAGGGATCAATGATGTCTTAAAAGTCAAGAATTGTCAATGTAAAAAAGCCATAAATGGTATCTTGAAAGTCAAGACTTGTCCATATTTCCTACTTGATGTTTTAAATTTACCAATCTGTCCTGGTCAGCTGTTGAAGACAAGGATAATTTCATTCTTTTCAAATCATTGAACAAATTTTCTTCACTCCATTTACTTAAATATAAATCCTTTGTCCGTCCGCTTTTAGATTACGCATCTTCAGCCTGGGACAGTGGCGTAGCGAGGGTGTTTGGCGCCCGGGGACATCTGTCCCCCCTGCCCCCATCACGCTACGCCTCTGGCCTGGGACCCATTCACCGAGAAGAGCATCGACAGGTTGGAGGCGGTCCAGCAAAGAGCAGCAAGCTTTGTCCTGAACCGCTACAGGAAGACCTCTAGTGATGGCAGCATGCTGGGGTGCGGCGATGCTGTCCAAGCTCTCCATGATGTACAATATAAAAAAACGGGCTGGTCCACAGCTCCAGCATTCAACAGAAACTCGTCCCTCTCCCCCACAGACAGCGACGAGGCCATGACAGGAAGTTCCGGCTCATAACAGCAAGAACACAGAACAGGAACTGCTCATTCCTGCCCATAGGTTGGCGGTTGTTGTAGTAGTAGGATAGGTTGCCAGGTCAAGTAAGGGGAATGGCGATGATAGGTTGCCAGCTGTAATAGGGGAATAGTGCTGATAGGTTGCCAGCTGTAATAGGGGAATGGTGCTGATAGGTTGCCAGCTGTAGTAGGGGAATTGTGCTGATAGGTTGCCAGCTGTAGTAGGGGAAGGGTATGGTAGGTTGCCAGCTGCAGTAGGGGAATGGTGCTGATAGGTTGCCAGCTGTAGTAGGGGAATGGTGCTGATAGGTTGCCAGCTGTAGTAGGGGAATGGTGCTGATAGGTTGCCAGCTGTAGTAGGGGAATGGTGCTGATAGGTTGCCAGCTGTAGTAGGGGAATGGTGCTGATAGGTTGCCAGCTGTAGTAGGGACTTACAGTGTAAGACTAGGTGATAGATGAAATTTCCATGTATGCCTGTCTGATAGATGAAACTTATAGTTTATACCTGTGTGATAAATGAAACTTATAGTTTATGACAAGGTGATAGATGAAACTTATAGCTGACGGGCACAGATGACAATATTATCAAGTGAAGACGACGGAGTGGATTGCTTTCAAAGACACCTTTAGGGAGCATTCAGCTCACACAATAATATTACTGCACCGACTCTGTCATCTTTTGGTTACTTCTTCTAATGTCATACAAATACACAGTTATACCCTGTCATCTTTTGGTTACTTCTTCTAATGTCATACAAATACACAGTTATACCCAGTCCGCGTTGACAAGAAATGAATGATGTTGTTTGAACTTGTGACAGGGACAGTGTGCAGTGTGACAGGGACAGTGTGTAGTGTGCACGGTTTCAACAACACTCTGTGACCGGGCTCCTGTCCTTTGTGTCGTGCTCTGCATGTAGAGATGGATGCTTTCACCCAAAGATATATCATGGTAGGTTTACCCGGTACTAGAATATTGCACTTGGCGAAAGTATCCCCCCCCCCTCAAATCAGCCAGCTATGTACATACATATAATAAGCCTCCAGCAGCCAACTATGTACATACATATAATAAGCCACCAGCAGCCAACTATGTACATACATATAATTAGCCACCAGCAGTCAACTATGTACATACGTATAATACAGTGAGACAGGCTATACAGTGAGACAGACTATACAGTGAGACAGACTATACAGAGAGACATACTATACAGAGAGACAGACTATACAGTGAGACAGACTATACAGAGAGACAGACTATACAGAGAGACAGACAAGACAGTGAGACAGACTATACAGTGAGACAGACTATACAGTGAGACAGACTAGACAGTGAGACAGACTATACAGTGAGACAGACTAGACAGTGAGACAGACTATACAGTGAGACAGATTATACAGTGAGACAGACTATACAGAGAGACAGAGTTGGCTGTTGGTGACATGAAATCCCAAGCAACCTATCAAATTAAGAGCAAATAATTTTGACCACCCAATATCGTCCCTTTCTCTAAATATTTGATGTTGTTACTTTTAAGTGTTGCATTAGCAGCAACGTATTTTGAAAGTGTCAGTTACCCTTACCAAGTGCTGCATCAAATTTCTAATTACCCTTACCAAATGTTGCATAAATTTCTAATTACCCTTACCAAGTGTTGCATCAAATTTCTAATTACCCTTTCCAAGTGTTGCATCAAATTTCTAGTTACCCTTATCAAATGTTGCATCAAATTTCTAGTTACCCTTATCAAATGTTGCATCAAATTTCTAGTTACACTTACGAGGACTTGTATCAAATTTCTAGTTGCCCTTTCCAAGTGTTGCATCAAATTACTAGGTTACCCCTACCAAGACTTGCATCAAATTTCTAGTTACCCTACCAAGTGTTGCATCTAATTTCTTATTACTCTTTCCAAGTGTTTCATCAAATTTCTAATTACCTTTACCAAGTGTTGCATCAAATTTCTAGTTACCCTTACCAAATGTTGCATCAAATTTCTAATTACCCTTACTAAATGTTGCATAAATTTCTAATTCCCCTTACCAAGTGTTGCATCAAATTTCTAGTTACCTTTACGAAATGGTGCATCAAATTTCTAATTACCCTTACCAAATGTTGCATAAATTTCTAATTACCCTTACCAAGTGTTGCATCAAATTTCTAGTTACCTTTACGAAATGGTGCATCAAATTTCTAATTACCCTTACCAAATGTTGCATAAATTTCTAATTACCCTTACCAAGTGTTGCATCAAATTTCTAGTTACCTTTAACAAGTGTGTGGTGCATCAAATCACTAGTTACCCTTACGAGGACTTGCATCAAATGTCTAGTTGCCCTTTCCAAGTGTTGCATCAAATTACTAGGTTACCCTACCAAGACTTGCATCAAATTTCTAGTTACCCTACCAAGTGTTGCATCTAATTTCTAGTTAACCTTTCCAAGTGTTGAGTCAAATCTCCAACTTAAATGAGCTGTGGTGTCGCTGGAACAGTGCATTACTGAACTAATTAAGTACAACAAAAACAACTACATTCTTTCTTTTCTATTTCTCTGCACCATTCATTGGCTTGCTTAGACTTGGGGGTAATTAGGCTAATTTCTATTGTTAATGTGTCTTCTAGCAGGCGCATGGTATCAGAAGGTTGCGAACCATTGCTTTCAATTTTTTTAGAAGGAGGTTCCTGAGGTGACGCTATGAATAAATGAATGGCCTATGTCTGATACACCAAGCAGTCCTCACCACATAATAGGTCTGTGAAATATGTAGACAAAAAGACCCAGTTTCCTGAACCGTGCTCTGACGTAAGTGCTATCATCGATCTTGCCTTCCGAGTACCAGTCATGCGGTGACCTCTTCGCTCGTGAGTGAGTACGAGCAATGCGGTGGCCCCCCTTCCCCTCGTGAGTGAGCGATCGTTGAGGGGCAGTTCCGACTGCCTCCTAGATTTATGTGTCCTTTCTTGAGTCGCGGGGTACTTTCTCATTTAGAAATACGATATTACAAAGATGGCAGACCGGAAGTACGTATCACCCTAGTCAAAACAATTCAAAGCAGTACAAAATCAACATATCACTGGGGTAGTTGACACAAGATATCGTAACCAGTAGAGTAGCCACTGGAAAGGTCCGTTCTCCTCATTTAGTCGGATTTAACAAAGAGATCATTGAGCTGACATGATGAATGCTGTCAACTTTAAACTGGTTACATTGGTTCTAGCTTTTTAGAGTTGTTTTAATCATTTTAAACTTAACTTTTCTCGTTGAATAAAATAAACAGCATGCTAGTCTTATTTTAAGATGAGTAAAACAGAGTAGGGTTAAACCTGAAAAAAGAAACGCAACAAAACAACGAACGTGTCAGCAGAAAGCCTTCGCCAGCGAACAAAACAACAGAAAAAACGGTATAAAAATAAGAAATATCACTTAGCTTGGACGTAGTATCCGTGGGCAGCAAAAGAAGCATTTGATTGCTTGAATTGATGTTGTTTGCCATAAGTTAATTAAAAGATTATTAACCTTGTGATAATAACGTTGGTATATTTTATCCTTAAATGTTACAAGAATATCTAAATGCCATGGGGAGGGAGGGGGGATATTGTTACAAACTGGTCATCGGATGTTAATATTGCATCAAGCTAACATCCTTGAACGTAGCGTGCTTGGGGTCGGACATGTCCTAAATTTAAATATTTTTAACACATATCATTGGCCAATATACAATTGGAATAAAACCAACAAATAGAACGATTTTGAAACTTTATTCATCAACCTAATGTATTGAAATCTGAATAACATGTTGTACTACAAAATAAATGAACACCATTAAAAAATTTGAACAGTGAGTCTTAAGAAATAGTTTTTTGTTTTTTTTAAGTGCATGAAAAAGTATAGCAAAAATTATTTTTATTTCATTAATTATTTTAATTAGAGAAAATGTATAATGAAAGAAGAGTCCATAACTCCATTAATATAATAACTAACAATAACATTGCAAATGAAGAGATGTATATGAAATAACACAAAGATTGAACTCTTTCAGGTAGTACTTTGTTTTAATGGGTTGCCAACTAATAAACTGTTCCATTTAATAAACGAAAATTATCTTGAGCAGACTGTTAGATGAACAAACAAATCATTGAAAAGATTTTTTTTTAATCTTCTATTCTGTAGGCTATTTGAAAATGAAAATTTCAACAAATTTATTAAAAATCTGCAAATACAATGGAGTTGATTTTTTGGGGGGAAAGTGCAAATTAATAATATTGTAACTGTAGATTATGAATAGTGAAGATATACATTATAGTATAGAAAGTGTACTGTAGTTTCTCCTCAAAGACAAAGTCTGCATTGATCTTCTATACACTTTCTCGCATATACTTCTATTTTATATCAAGGGTCCTCACATTTTTTTCGGGCCAAACGTATGAAAGTTAAAGGGCTATTGTTTATGGTTTATTATTGCTGTAGTTGTACCTTTTAAAACCACCAGCCTACTCCTCTTTCCCTCACCACCAGCCTATTTCCCTTGCCTCTTGCCATCAGCCTACTTCTCTTGCCTCTCACCACCAGTCTACTCTTGCCATCAGCCTACTCCTATTGCCTCTCACCACCAGCCTACTCCTCTTTCCCTCACCACCAGCCTACTTCCCTTGCCTCTTTCCACCAGCCTACTTCCCTTGCCTCTCACCACCAGCCTACTTATCTAAAAATTGTACTTCATCCTGAGCAATAAAAAGTTGTTCAACTGGGGCATTTTAAAACATTTTCTTTTGTGCTTAATAAAATGAACTTTCCTATAGCCTCGAACCTACCAATATCTTTGGATAACAAAAATTTCTTTTATCAAATGTAAAACTGTTTAGACGCCAAGACTCCACTGTACAAAGTCACACAGTTCAGATGCTTTCCAGTTCACAGAACTTATAAATTTATAAATATATTAACATTAATAATTTAAGAAATTGAAGTTTAAAAAAAATTAAACAGCATGGAGGCATGCCAAAAATTACATGTGATTTTATATTGCTTTCAAGCAGTCTAAAAAAATGTACAACGCTTTTCTTGTTTTCCAGTGTTAATCCATGCATAGGTAAAATACTAGGAAATATAGGCAGTAATGATTGGTAAAACTAATGCTGTCATTACTGGATCTAACCAGAGCAAAAATATTAGCATGAGAGGTAAATACATCACTATATACAATCACTTAGTTGGGAAACCATGATTCATCCATGTTTACTTTGTATAAGATACAAGTGTTGATCTTCCCTAGGGTCATTCTTCCCTAGACACATTCTTGTAGCCAACTTGCACCCTTAGACCATGATTACAACATGCAATACATATTCACAGTGTTGTAACAAAATTGGATTCAATAATTTTGTTAAAAATGAGTAAAGTACTTTTAAGTAAATATTTTGAATTGAAAACTTGGGTCAGGAATGTTAAATGAGCTTCAGATACCGGTATGATATGTAAGACATAAGATGCATTTAAAACAAATTTTTTTTGCATATGACATATGTTTAGAATGTGGAAATTATTTACTTCTAAACTTCCTTATAAGACAAGGTTAATGTTAGAGCATTGAAAATGTCAATAATGACATGCACTCATTTTTTAAATATGCTAATTTTCCTTTTTTAATGCTTCTGTTTTAATTATCACAAGCGTTTTAATTCACTTTGACTTTTAGAGTATCTATTAATTTTTAAAGAATTTTTTCACACATAAAATATTAAAATCTTTGAAAGAAATTTTAGTACCATAAGGGGAAAACGCCAGGACTGTTCAGAAAACAAGTATTTACTTAATCTTCTTGTGATGATTTGTACATTGTATCCTCCATTAACCACAGGATCTCAACAGAAGTTAACATGAACCTCAGCATTTATAGCCAGACACATAAATCAAAAATAGTTTATGTACAATCAAATATAAATTGTTCAAGTAATTTTAGTACTCATAATAAATGTTTTAAAAAAACTGTATTAGTAGAATGTATTTTCATGAAATTAATGAAACCAATTTTCAACTCATGAAATCTTATTCCAGAAGTGCATTATAAAACTTTTAACACATGGCCACAATTGACTCAAATGTAACCACAATTTAATCAACAGTGCAATATAGTGCAAGACAGAAAGACATTAAAAACAACAGTATTCCATGTTGAACCATGAAATTTGTAAACATTGGATAACTAAGAACCAACAGTGTAACATAAAAAGTATTTCATTCATGGGACAATCATTTTGTGTTCACCTCAAACAATATTGATCAACATTTTTTATCACTTTCATGGCACAATGATTTTACTTTTGAAACCACAAAAAGTATATCAGATTTATATTTTACAATAAAGTGTAAGAGGAATAGCTATGAAAACAACTTTGATCAATGCAGCTGTAATAGAACAACGGTATCAGGTAAATGTGCATGTGCCTTCTTCATCTCTTTCACTAGCAACAGACAAAATTATGATATTCTGAATGTCTAGATTCTGTAATTTAAAACAATAACTTTAGCATTACGTTGAAGAAAAAGCAATTTAATTTTAATATTTAACCTTGAATTTGGGACACAGAAATTAAAAATAAAGTTATATAAAATTGATTTATAAACAAAGAAAAACTTAAAAAAACCTGCTATCTTTTGTTAGTCTTAAGAAATTGTTGAAGGAAAGAAAGTTAAATAGTTATTGTTAACTGAATTCAAATAAACATTAACTCAAAGTAGATCTTCAATTAAATGCAATAAATCTGGCAAAGTGAAAAATAACAGGTACTCTTGTGTTAACGTACAGCATATAAATTTTTACAAATAAGTCTTGTGCTAACGATCAGTTCAATGTATTTTATGGTATATAAAGTTGTAAAAATAAGTCAAAAGTATTTTACAACTTAATTATGCACCAATTTATTTTTTCTTAAGATGAGTACAGTTTTCCCCACCATAAAACAATACAAAGACTTACTGTTCTACTCATTTAACATGTCCAATGGTTTGGCCCGACTCTTCAAAATTTTGTTTAGATATATAATGTGAGGATTTAATAGTTGTGCCACATTTAGCAATATCAATACATCCACAACAAAAGATTGCCCTCTTCAATGTTAAAAAACATTTAATCCTACATTTTGGAGGATGGTGGCATGGGCCGCAAATCTGACCATGTTAACATTCAAGTGGCTTCATTTGATTGAACAATAACAAAACAAGAGTTTGATTAAACATATTAAATACAATTGTTGAAATAAATTAAGAAAAATAAATTTTTGGGGAAAAAAAAAAAATTGCAGACTCAAAAATATATCCCTGCACAACCACATATGCATGGCAAATAAATATACCACAATTTTTTTGTTAAATCCATTAACACCAGTATATAAAATGTATAAGGTAGGGCTAAATAATTGCCCTGACTACAGATAATAGAAAGACAAATGCAAAGAAAAAATACTTTAAAAGCATAAGTTCAATATATACTAGTTTTGTGTTTGACTAATGTAAGGGTATTTGAAATCCATTTTTTATGTGCTTTCATATGTGCATACTGTATGTGTATTTAGTCAGTTCAAAAGTTCATCACTCACCACTTGACATGTGCTTGATATAATGAAACATTAAGTTCACAAATCCTGATGATGCCAATGAATTCCTAAATAAACTGATTCTTCTTGTTCTCATTGCATTGTTTGACTACCTGCAGATATTAGTGATTCTTCTTGTTCTCCTTGCATTGTTTGACTACCTGCAGATATTAGCGATTCTTCTTGTTCTCATTGCATTGTTTGACTACCTGCAGATATTATTTTCTGCAAAGCAAGTAGAAAAAAGTATGTTTTTAACAGTGAAATAAAGAGAACACAGTAAAAGTGAATTAAAGTATCTGGCAAGAAAATTTTTTCTAGTAAAAGACATTGTAAGGATCTTATCGATAACTTTAACAATGTGGAAGACGATTCTGTACAAGAAGAATGATAAGATCAAACAGCACATTTCCACATCTTACTTGCAGTCAAGGTTACGGGCATATCAATAAGCAACATAGTAATTAGTGAGCTATCATTTTTTTTACAACAAAAAAAAAAAAAACACACATAAAGAAACTACATTCACTTCACCATAATTAAATTGCAACCTATTTTTAGCCTTGACCCTCAAAAGGTCACCTTAGCCATTTGGATGCAGAAGGCCACCTGGGTTCGCATTTGACCCCACCATAAAAATGCCAATCATGACCTCTGATTTAATCTATTTTAAAACCAAAATAATGGCTTCTTTCAAAAGTAGTTTGAAATGGTAAAAATGGCATTCACATGCAACAATGACATGACTGGAATCTATGTTATATGTTCTATGAATCCCAACTTTGTTCAATATACCCTGCTATTTAGGTGATCCAATCGATTTTAGAGTTTACAATTCAACATAACTGATCTTTGCTCATGTTGCGGGCATTTACAGCAGCAAAATTTACCATTCCTTAAAATATCATCACTATTAAATGCAACATCCTATACTAAATCAATATCATCATCACGATCTTCCTCCACAGCATCTTTTTCATTTCCTGAACCACATAGGCCAACTTCATTATCTGCTCTGTGCCTATCATCCTGTTTCAATTCACAGGGGGTCATTTGAGTCAATGAGTACCTGCAAAAGTCACACTACTAATGGCAGACGAACAGAAAACGCAAGCTCACCTGGGATCAAATCTGACCTCTTATAGTAATAGGGAAAATCAAAATATGAGGAAAAAAATAGTATCCCCAACAGCAAAAAAACCATCTGCCCTAACTACAGTATTACTTCTCACGTCACTAAGGTCTTTGTAAATAAAATGTTTAAATGCAGAAACAAATGGAGGCCTTTTGAGAGTTAAAGCAATTTATTTTCATAACCCCCCCTCCCCCCATGTCACACATTCCTCATATTTTAAATCTTGAGGCTGAATAGCAGTTATATTAACTCTTTAAGCTCCAATCAAACAACCCCTTTAAAACAAAGTTTCTCGTACAAATCCTTTATGTGCGTTTTGTCTAGTGTTTACCTGATTTATCATTTCTTAAGAAGCGGTTATGGAAATGGGTAAAATTCTAGAAAAAACATATTTCCTTCATTTTAACCTTCAAAAATACATTTTATTTTTATTATTATTGCATAACCCAAATAAGTCACAAATACAAAGCCCATATCAACAGCTAAACACAATCTCCACACTAAAACACGCACCCATTGAACTAATCATATTTCATTCATGTTCCCCTTGAAAACAGGAAAAATGGATTGCTGGGGGTGGGGCTGAGGGTGGGGCTGAAAATGTAATAGAATGTGTTATCAGCAATGCGACTATGTGCCAAGTTTCACCTTGATAGGATGATGGGAAGTGGGTAACTTAGCTTTCCCAACATTTTGCCACAAACACACAAACAAAAGCGGAGTTAATATAAAGAATTTTTTAAAATCATGCTGTCCCCCACTCCCTCATGTGAGATCTTTGATATTTATATAAGAACTTTTTTTTTTCCAACATGTTACAATTTTGTTGGGGGGGGGGGGGGGGGATTTTTTTAAAAAAAAAACCCAAGAGAGATCACAGTAGGAGATACTGATGTGATGATTGAAAAGAAAAATGAGAAAAGCATAAAATACAAAACATATTTCAAAATTTAAGAAAAAGTGACAACACAAGATTTAATTTTTCTTGGGGAAATATGAATAAATTATTTTATAAACTTCACACATTTTTTTTTATTTAATACACACACACAATTTTATTTAAAAATACAAATAATTAACTACTAAAATGTTATACATCTACAAATTTCTTGAGAGTAGACAAAAAAAACTGCTTAACTCTGATATAACACTGTAAAAATTTAATATTTTATTGATGGTTCTTTGTCTTATTAAAAATTATTATTGGTAAATTTGTCTCAGTGCCAAAAAATTTTAGTGGAGGCAAAGCCTGGCACTGGTGAGGTTGTGGTGTGAGAACTAGGAATATGTAGCTCTAATAAATCAGAAGTAAGTCACAACAACTGATAGTTTGACCTCATTTGAAGAGTGAAAAAATTAGGACTTTATAGAAGAGATCAATATCAACTTGTGTAGGCAGACAATGCTAAGCAAGTATTAAGTATTTGTTCTTTCACCATTAGAAAGACAAAGAATCTGCACAAAGGTGATCTAGGGTAAGTGAAAGGTCAAGTTGAGCAGTCTATTCATGTTCATAATTTTCCCTGTGTCAGTATTTACACCAAGGGTCAAGAAAAGAGTCAGTGTCTACACAAAGTGTCAGTGTCTATATAGTGTCAGTACTTACACAGAGAGTCAGTGTCTAGACAGTGTCAGTATTTACACAGAGAGTCAGTGTCTACACAGAGAGTCAGTGTCTAATCAAAACATCATGTTGTACAATTTCCCCCTTTGCATTATTGATGATGAGAGAAGTGGATTCAAATGTCAGGGTGTGTGACTGGATTCAAATGTCAGGGTGTGTGACTGGATTCAAATTTCAGGGTGTGTGACTGGATTCAAATGTCAGGGTGTGTGACTGGTGCTTGATTAACTTTTTTTTTTTTTTTTACAAATGTGAAAATTAAGCTGACAAAGTAGAAATTATTCTTTCAGTTCATAAAGCCTACAGAATTTAAACAGTGCATCAAACAAATGTTGGACATTGGTGATTAGCATCTCAGAAGTACGGTAGAAAGAGTTTGGAGCTGAATGAAGAGGAAAAAAAAACAATTCTTGAAAACTATCTCATTTAAAATCAGACTGTAGGCATATAGTGTTTGCACAAACCAGATCAGACTGTAGGCATATAGTGTTTGCACAAACCAGATCAGAACACAGACTATTGATTTTTTTCACTCTGGCGGAACATATACCACAATCAATAAAATGGTTGCAACATAGAATCTTGGAGTTGAGCCAAACATCCCTGTTTCCCAATTGAGTTGAAGCTATGCCAGCAGTGAATAAATAAATACGTCCAGAAAACAGGTGTCTGTTTTAAGAGCAATAGTAACATTATCAGAATTCTCATCTCTGTCAAATGGAGGGCTGAACGAGACATTAAAAGCCTCAACTTCAAGTCTCCAATATTTATAACTAACCCTAAAGACATGAACATTAAATCTAACAAGCAAAGAAACACATTCAAAAAGAGTACCGGGTATACTGAGTGGGGTTTTAATTTTCACATAGAATCAAGGACAATTTATAATATAAAAAGACAATGTCCCGTTTTAAGACTTTCATAATTTCTTTGTTCTATGAAAGAATATATTTGTAACACAATGTCATTTCAATTTATTTATGGGCTTTGTTCATCTGTCATCCTTAAGTACAGTGTACTTTTAAAAGGGTTGGCACATTTACTTCCCCAATCAACTCGTAAAAATGGCCATAAATACCAAATAATGTCTGTCTGTGCCAACTATCACTAGCCTGACGAAATAATATCTGTCAGTGCCAACTCTACTATCTCTAGCCTTACAAAATATTTTCTGTCAGTGTTAACTCTACTATATCTAGCCTTACAAAATATTAACTAGTCCAATAATCTTAAACTTTTACAGCCCTGTTATAGAAATACAATTAAACTGACATATCTCAGCCAGTCTTATAAATATGAAAAAACGAATCTTATTTTGAATCTACCTAACAAAGTTCCATCTCTGACGGTGATTCTGCCATTGTACAGGCAATTAGTTGATTTATAGCAGTAGTTGGACTGGAGTGCCTTACCCAATTACAATTTTATTTTTATAATAGCAAAAATACTCAATATATTCACTATTTCAAGTTTAAAATAACACTGAAGTTTAAATTGCTCTATTTAAGTACCGGGCACTCGCTGATATACAAAGATCAACCAATTTGTGACTACTTTCTTAAAAGACCAAAATATGTCCTGTAATACATAGTACACATGAGTCTAGTCCTTAGAATTACTGAAAAATTCTTTCTCAATAATGGCAAAAAGGAGAGGCAATTTTAACAAAAGATTTCATGTCCAAGGACCCCATAATTATGCAGTTGGGAGCCACTGATTGAATAATAAAGTCTGGCAACAGCATCAGTCAACCTTCAATCACCCATTTTTGCTCTTTTGTGTACCCCCAAATCAACAGAAAGATTATGAAAGTAATAAGACATACATCACTAGGTAATTGGCCAACTGAAAATGGAAGAAGGTGAGACTTGCATATCCAAACAGTGCATGAAGTGCATTATGATGGCAATTTGACAGAAATATCTAGGCCAGCTTGGGAAATAGCCAACTGATAAATAAGGTTAAAAAAAATGTAAGCAAGCTAAGACATATTAAAATTTGCCCATCTCTGAAGCTCCAGTATTATTAGCTACTGTACTTTGTTTTCTTTAGGGACTTGTGCCCATTCTCATTCTTTTCTTTTTAGGTATAGGTTGAATATATTGTGTCAATTTAATTTATAATGACACTAATGGTTGTTGTTTTTTGTACCGATGGGGGCCGAAACATTTGAACCTGTATTTTGTCTAATCATACTTTATGTTTAATTATTTACACATATTGTTCGTCTTCTATTATCAGCCAATGTGGTCTGTTGACTTGCATTGCAATTGACAAATGTGTGATAACTACTTTGAGTTAGATCATCATTACAAAGTTCATTCTTATCTTATTTTATGTTTGGACTAGTCTGTTTTAAGTGTTGGGATTGATGTTTATTGAATGCACTCTCTCAAATCTTATTCTATTCTTTTATTGGTCTCCAATTTAGTGCTGAACCATTTTATTAAGCCAACATCTGTGAAAAATCTTGACAATAATTTATGCATCAGAAAAAGGTTTCCTGAACCACTCCATTAAGTTAATATTAGTCACAGCTCTTGACAACAGTTTATGTCTTACAAAAGGGTTTCCCTTCATTTTTAATCAGACTTTGTGGGTTACTCTTATATACAACATACCCTCAGTTGGAACACACGTAGAGAACAGCATATGAATATGAAGCAAACGATTTAAACTAAGTTTATTTTGTTATGTGCACATTTCTATCTTTCAACACCGAAACAATTGTTCAATAGATTAATTTCTTCCCTAAACATTTGTTCAATAGATTAATTTCTTCCCTAAACATTTGTTCAATAGATTAATTTCTTCCCTAAACATTTGTTCAATAGATGAATTGCTTCCTCATCAACTTTTTAGAAGGTTTAGAAGTCAAATAAAATGTGCTGACATTTCACTTTTCCCAGAAGCCGTGAAGGTTTAATGAAGCAATCAATACTTAATTATTCATAGTCACATTACTCTTGATGAGCATTGAGAAGCTCAAACTAATTAGCCATTCATTGATTTTCCTTCAAACAACATGCACCAGTCAGTTTTAAAATGCTTCAGCAGTTTTGGAGTTAATGTGCTCCAAATAATAACAAAAATGAGTCTTTGTCGACTCTTAGCTTGATTATAGGGAATGAGCCATATTTACATTTTGTAAAGCAGGTGATTCCTGCAGATCCTTCATGGTTTAAAAAGTATTTTAAGCCAGAAGAGATCGTGAATTGGTCTGAAAAGGCGATACAGGAACACAAAGGCTCATAAAAATAAAATGTGTGCAATTTTACAATAAAATCTCCCCCAGGGCCTGCTTGCAAATTATTACATAAATTCGATTGAATAGAGAAACCCTATGTTATAAAGCAGGCCTGCTGAAATAAGTAATTGACCGGGTGAAAATGAAACATTAAATAAACTAAGATGGGAGCATATATTTAATGTACTTGGCTATCACTATTTAAACTTACAGCATCTTCCATATAATTATTGCCTCCTCCTTTATGGTTCATTTTCAAAAGAAATATCAAATGAGCTTCTTCTAGATCTGGAGAAGTCTCTACATTTTGGGATGTATGTAAGAAACAAGACGAGTCCAGACACTGCATAGAAGAAACCACTCATGTAGAAGGTGGAGTTGTAGTTGCCTGTCACATCTGATATCCAACCTAGAGGGCAAGAACAATCAATAGATTCTTAGCTTTATTCTTTGTCATCAAATCATCAATAAAAACAATCTTGAAATCTACACAATTATAACTACAGCTTGAAGATAAACATTCTGACAATAAAACCTTATTGGAATCTACACAATTATAACTACAGCTTGAAGATAAACATTCTGACAATAAAAGGTATTTTAAAAGAAGCAAGGGATTAAGGGAAGAATTATAAGATTAAAGGAAGAAGTATAAGACCGTGGGAAAAACTAAAAGACTAAGGGAAGAATTATATGACCAAGGGTAAATTATAAGATTAAGCAAAGAAGTATAAGACTAAGGAAGAATTATAAGACTAAGGGAAGAATTATAAGACTAAGGTAAGAATTATAAGACTAAGGTAAGAATTATAAGACAGAGAAAAATTATAAGACTATGGGAAGAATTATTAGACTGAGGGAAGAATTATAAGATTAAGGGAAGAATTATAAGACTGAGGGAAGAATTATAAGACTGAGGGAAAGTAAAGAAACAAAAGAAAATATATGGACTTACCAGCAAATGGTGGTCCCAAAAAATTGGCGATACCTTGCATAAGCATGAGAAGGCCATATGCGTTGGTCAGCTTGGACACCCCAAGGAATCTGATAAGTAGGACAGTTGTCAGAGGGAAGCTAACGCTGATACAAAATCCAAAGAGGCTGTACCCAATACACATGTTGACATAGGTGGTCATGAACGGGATTATTGCCACAAATACACCTGCCAGGACTGACACAACTGCATACACATTTTGCAAATTAATATTGAGATCACCAACAATCCCAAAGACCACCTGGCCGACCGTATTGAATATGCCAATGATAGACAACAAAAATGATGCTCTGCGGGGGTCAACTCCATTGTCCATAGCATGGTCTGCAGCATACATGTAGGGCACATCACTCCAAAAATAGTAGATAAAATTGGATAGCACAAAGACAATGAAAAACGGGTTGCAGAAAAGCCTGAATTCGACCATGCTCTTTAGTATATCTAGTGATTCTTCAAAAAAGTTAACACACACACTGCAGATAAAGCTTCTCTTAGAATCAACAACAACCGTTTCGGGCAACTCGGGACAGCTGGTGGCGAGGGTGCACTGTTTTTGAAGGTTACTATTTTTTAGGAGACGCCTGTAAAAAATATCAGTTCTGTAGAGGGGCAGATGAATACCCAGGGCATTGTGACGACCGATGTGAACACCTCCAACTCTCTTCACTACAGAAACGCCTTCCTTCTCACAGCCTTTATCGGTGAGCATACCGCTCATCCCAGAGAACTCTCTCCTGTGGGGCAGCTGGCGATCCTTTTGCATAGAGGGACGCATGGCGTGTTGCTTGCCATCAGATTGCTTTGTGGAACTGTCCTCTTTTCCTTTAGATTGACTTTTTACGTTTGGATGAGTCTGTTCCTTTCGATTGGTTGCTGTAGTTTCTTTAAGTTTCCAATCCGCTTCATCAGTTCCATGTTGCCCCAGTGCTTTCACAAGATGGACTTTTGCTGTTGGTTTATTGGGATTTCCGTTGACATCTTCAGAAGTGTTCTTGGAATGGTTGATGAACAGAACACTGGAAGACTGAGCGATTTTCAGAATGGTGTCATCTATTAAAGAGGAAGGCAGACTTTCGATGGCGTCATCTGTGCTTTCATCAACTGATATTGCATAAGTGTTTCCATCAAGAAGAGACTCCTGTTCTTTTAAAAGTGCCTTTTGCTCATTGACATGATTGATCTGTAGCATGGCATTCTTCATGTACCTCTGCAGAGTCAGATGTGGGTTTCTGCTGCTCTTTAAGGCTTCCATTAGAATATCTGAGGGCACATCCATCAGCTTGGCCGAGACGAACGTCGGTAGGCTCAGAACTGAAAGTGTCCTTGCTTCAATGTCTTCTTCTAAATCTTCATCAGAGTCTTGATCGCTAGATTCGCTGGGATACCTGCTCCTCCCCAGCTCGATGTTTTCACGACTGTAAGGGATTTTGTTAAACTCTTCCAGCAGCATCTCCCACCTCTCACTTTCTGTAAACTGCAACGGTCGGAACAGCATGCCACAGACGACAAGGTTCAAACTTATCCCCGCCATGATCAAAAACAGTCCCCTCATCCCGTATTCAGAAATCAGATAGTCCATTAGTGGAGCGAAGGTCACAGTGCCAACACCTGTACCGCAGACAGCCAAACCTGTTGCAAGGGACCGTCTTTTTTCAAAGTAGAAAGATACGATGACAACACTTGAGATGTAGCAAAATGAGAAACCGGTTCCTACAATGACACTAAATGTAAAACACAGCATTTCAATGGAAGTTGCAGAATGACTTAAGATCATGCCAAAACACGCCAGCAAGCCTCCAGTTATGGTCATTGTTCTACTGCCAAACCGAGTGCAAAGTGCGCTAGAAAAAGGACCTAATATCATGGCCACGCCAAAGAAAATGCTTCCGACTAGAGAGGTTTTGCTGCGGCTCTCATCAAACTGGACGAGGAGCTCTGCGTAAAGAACTCCAAAACAATAAGAAAGGCCATCACAGATGAGACTGACAGAAAAAGCCCCCATGACAACCAGCCAACCCCATCCCCCATCAGGTGGGGTGGGCACCGGCAGGGATGAACTACTGCTGGAGCTTGTGCTTCCTTCACCATTTTTAGACTTCTTGCCGATGGCCAAATCATCAAACGGTGGCCGCAGCCAGCTATAAAATGTATCCGGGTTGATTTCTGATGTTGAGCCGGCTTCACTTTCTTGCATTTTAAATGTATCATAATTTTTAACTAACTTCTGTGTTTCACTGGGGGTGGAGTCAATGTTCAATCCATCACACTGATTTTCATCTTTCTGGTTAACAGCTTTGGACAGGTGCCCATCAAGGGATATACTTGTGCTGCATCCAAAAGGGGGCAGCTTTTCATTTTGTAAACTGGACGCATCGTATCTAAAGGACATTTTACAAACAGCTTTTTACGAAATCTTAGAAAGGTTTCAGACAACCCAATATTTTCGAGTAATTCTACAGTTCTGAAAAAGACACCTAGAGAGAGCTTATGTAACCTGCTACATAAATTCTGAAACTGATCAATGTACAAGCAGTGGATATAGTTGAGATCAGAGTATAGTTTAGTCATTGAGTTGTTGGAAATCCAAAGAGAGTAAGAAAGATTTGGGTCACTCCAGTGATGATTAGCTTTGTTGTGGGGGCTAGGGGTAAATCTCCAGCGTGCGTCAAACATCAGGAAAACTCTGTGGAGGAAAAAAATTATATTTCAAACAAATTAACAAAACCATAAATATGCGGTGCTAAGTCAAACAACAATTATTTCAATTTTTTAAAAAATATATTGAAATGAACATCCTCACATTTAATTGTGTGCATGGGATACAGCATATAAATGACTACATTTAAATAGCTATTTTTTTTTAAATTCTACCATTGGCATAACAGGACAGAGAAATTATACAACATGCTCTACCCTAATAAAAAAAATGGTGTATATACAACATAACCAGTTACTTGTGTCTTTTTTATTTCCTTGCTTATCTATGCAAATGAGTCACCTAAATAATTCCCTTCTGTGAAGAAGATTATTGACACTTGAATTCTGTAACTAATATATAATGTACCCGTACATGGAAATTTATTATGTCATCAAGACACATGGCTGAAGATATTTACGGTTTGCACTTTCCTGCATTCCAGAGAATAGGATTGACTTCTCAATATTGTCAAACATACAGCTGGTTACAGTCAAGAAATCAATATTTAATCGATCTCTTGGCAATGTAGGCACATTAAAGGAAGGTTCTTAAAAACCTTTATTTTCAAAATATACAAGAAGTATTGGTCAAATAATGAAGCACTTTAGATATGATACATACGCCCTAACAATGCAACATACTATTTAGCTACTGTATGGGTACTATGTTTCCTAAACAGTTCACTTAATAATATATTCAACTATTACTCATGAAATTTGTTTAACTCAAGATTGGGAATCCAGACCTGTTTACCCTCAAACTCTTAAAGTCGTAGAATATCATCACAAAATCGTTCAATACGTTATATTTATAGTAAAAAATAAAGGTAACCAAAATAAACAGTATATACAACCTATACGCCTAAAAATCGTACATTGTACGCCAAAATCATAAGAGTAAACAGGTCTGGGAATCAGAACTTGAGGGGCTATTCCAATCTATAATATTTTGGGCGAAACAAATTCATCAGAACTTGAGGGCCTATTCCAATCTATAATATTTTGGGTCAAACAAATTCATTCTATATATTATTGCTTATTAAGCTACAATATAAATCATTTTTAATTGACTGCACAACCTACTTGTAGATATATTACCGAAGAGGAAATAACAACTTAAATATACTACTTATATAAGCTTGTTAAGAATAGAATGAATGTGGATGTATGAAAAAAGCAAAAAATGCTGAGCATGTGACAGGTTGGCCAAGCAGACCTACATGGCTTAGTCAGTGGTAAATTTCCATTAGATATGGTGTCAGTTGTTAAATGAGGTTAATTGTTTAGATTTGCAACCTACTGCCACTGAGGAAAGGCTTATGAAAAATCCTTCCCAGTTTGGAAGTCAAAGAGCAACCTTAGTTGAGATGATAGCCTGCTAGCCAAGTATATATAATATATATTCCAGATATTTTGAATAAATTTTGAAATTTACTTCTGCAACCATGTACAACTTACAAAAAAGAAAGTTACCGTACAATGAACCGTTTAAATATTCGTTGTTTAACAGATAAATTATCAGCACACTCTGAATGAAAACCTTATTTATGTCAAAAACGAAAGTGTTTCTTCCTATTTGGTCAACAAAAATAACCTATGAATAACTAGAACACTTTGGTAGAAAGAAAGTTAAAACCATATTCACTGGCACCCAATCAAGTTATTTCTTAACTAGCCAAGCCATTAGAAAAGCCTTCTCACAATTACATTCATTTAAATTAACAAACATTTTTAACACACACAAAAAAATGTCTGCATGGGAGTAAAATGGGGTAAGGAGATGGTGTAATTGCAGAGGAGTGAAGGGTTCGGTGTGGCTGGTTTTTGCTGGGGGTAACCAAAGAAGGCATTGATTTTGGGACAGTGGTAGAGGATGTCATGGGAGGATAAGGGTAAGAGGGATGGATACTGGATGTGGATGGCTAGGAAATTTGGGGTTGAGAGTATATTTAGGTGGGAGAGGGTATATGTCAGAAAACAAATATACTTTTTTAAAAGCTGCTAGTTATGGGTCAGCAAGAATTAATTACAACAATGGGTGAAAAACTCTACATCAAATTTATTAAACATTAGGCATAAACCTTGTCATCAATTGTGTTAAAATATAAGAAATATATAAACTTAGTTTGTATCAGGCCTAGGTGAACAATATTTTTTAATACTGGTCATTGATAATCAAGAGTAGAGTTGGCCTAGATTACTGATTAGGCCTAATACTGAACAATTATTTAACAATTAAATAGGTAAATAGGCTCCTACTGATACTTCTTGTAAATTAATAAAAATAAATGAGTAGGCCTTTTTAATTTCTTTATAGTTAAAATTTATATCAATATGTCTTAATAACTATGACCTATAGATATACATAGGTATGTGCCTACATCCATATTTATTATTATTATAAAATAATCCTATGTAGGCTGTCAACATAAATGCTTAATTTTCATCATTAGGCCTAAAGAATATTTAAAATACACAACTCGTCCACACTTAACAAATCCAATCACTAAGGCCTATGCCTATATCAAATATTTCATTGTCATTTACTACTACAGGAATAGGCGTATCAAGCACAAGTCCTTTTTTTTTTTTTTTTTTTTTAATTTTAATCAACTATTCCAATGCTAAAAAATGTAAATAAATCCTATTTATATTTTATTCCTTATATAATTTATTACTTTTAAGGAGGCACATACTATACTATAATAGTAATTGAATAAGTAATAATAATAAAGTTTATAGTATATAATGTACCTAGATACTAGGAATATATAGACCATATATAGGGACCTAGGGTGGTTCTCAAAAAGGGTGGTACCACCACCAGGGTGGGGTGGGATGTCGGGGGTGGGAGGTGTAAAATTCTCAGAAGATGGGTGGGGGGGGGGGCGGCATTTGGACTACCTGGGAGGAGGGAGGAGTTCATTATACCTGAAAAGCTTCTTAAAATCAAAATAAAAATATCTTAAAAAAGATTAATGATTATTGGATAATTATCTGCCATTAAGGTTGCTATTGTTATAAATATTTTCAGATTTAAATGAAATCAATTTACATTTGTGAATTTTATTAAAACCAAAAGAATGAATACATTCATATCTAAATCACCTCTGCTCACTAACGATATTGGCCAATATCCAAGCATGTCGAACCTAGAAGAGAAGGAGGCTACAAGATGAAAAATCGGTTTGCATCTCTAGGGGTGGGTGGTGTTACCCAATGTGGTAAACTCATGGTGCCACCCAACCCAACTTTCACACCTTTCCATGGACCTCACTGAATCGGTCTGCTCTAGTGGCAACCTGCTGTGGTGACTACCTTCTTTTTCTGGTGACAATGTGTTCTGTTGACAGTGGTAAGACCTGCTCTGGTGACAACCCTATCCTGGTGGCACCCTTCTCATGGATTTATTTGAGATTGTTTTGAAACGAACTTGAGTTAACACTGTCAAATAGGCAGTTTTCCATTTTGGTATCACTCCCTGTCCGCTACTCCATTGACGTTACAGCTTAAAATATCTTGGGACCATTTGGACATTGCTCATAAAATTGTGTCCGAGCAAGTTTAGAATTTTCTTAAAACGAATGTTTGAATGGGGGATAAATAATTTTCAGTTACAATAGCCTTGGGTTGTTTTGATAAATATCTAATTCAAAGCTGAGGCCAAGCCCACAAGCCACAAGCATTAAGAAATCATGCTTTCTGCTTAAGACTTAAGACGATGTCTTTATGAATTTATGTCTTTATTATGCACTACAAAAGCTCTTTCTAGCTTTACAGATATGAATATGAAAGAAATATTATCCATTTTGATGAAAGTATTGAGTTTTGTTACCTAAAACTAAAACAATACATTTACATTAAACAAATCTTAATCTTATCACTTTTTTTAAGTTTAAGCCAATGGCAGTGGCCAATCCAAACCATACAGTCTACAGTCTAAAGTATTCAATAATATTTTATTTATTTTAATTCTAATTAAAAGTTCATTTAGGGCCTACAGTTTACTGAAATAATTTAACATTTAAAACTTTAAATTTAAACATCTTCGTTACGATTACGGAGTTGTGTTGTAATACTATCCAAATTAAAAGTAAAAATTAAAAATGGGGGGGGGGGGTTAAATAAGAAATAAAGAGGAGGCATTATGGATAGTTATATGATATGGGATGGTGCCAAGGGGGAGAAGACCGAAAAATGTTTGAGAACCATCGGAATACTAGACCAACCTCCACTAGCCTAAATTAAATCTCACAAAATATTTTAAATATTAAAAATAGGTATATTTCATTAATTTTAACAAAATTACTTACCCCATATCCTTTGAGTAAATTATATATCTTATCAGCTAAATGGGCCACAAAAGGTATCTCTTGGCATATTAGACGAAAGTTTAAAAAGCTTAAAGAGGATCTGACTTTTCGGGCGTTTACGAGAGTAGTGCCACAGTCTGGGTCAGATCAGCTGTCTTCTAACAAAATAACTTCAGCCTTGACATTGGGAAAAAAATAGGGAAGGTCGCATGCTATTAGTAATAATTACTGTCTATACTATTTACAATTCTCAATAAGTTCTTCGTTATTAGTAATCGTTTTTTAAAATTATGTAATTAAAATCTTAAATCATCTCTGTTTTTTAACTAACTTATTTAATTAGTTTAAACATTGTTTGGAAAATTCTTACAAATCAAAAAGGAAAACTCTAATAATAGAACTATGGCACAATTAAAAAGTGAATCGGTGTTATTCTATGGAACAAAATGCATTTAATAATGCGTTTATCACATTATTCGGCATAATGATAATATCATCGTACCATGTGTAAGAAGCATCAAATTGAAACATTAATTATTATTTGAGCTGTATAAATGAACCAATTTTGGGCTATACAATTGAGAGTCTGTACTGTAGAAATGTCAGGCGACGGTGGGTAAATTATATTTCTCCAATTTGTCAAACTTAGTGAAGTGATCAGTGAGTGATAGTATCACACTGATCACTCAATAAAAAAATTAATTCAACAATAGTCAAACTCGTACTCATAATTATTAAATTCTGGTGTGATTGCCACTTGAACTTCATTATATAATATAAGTTATAATTATAAGTAAAGAATGAAGTTGATTTGAATTTTGACTGTCATGACATATGATTGACAGCAGGGACGTCATTTGGATAGGGCACGGTGGGCCATTTGCCCCCCTCCCCCGAATTTGCAGGTTTTATTTAAATTGCTTTGGTCAATGGTTGTACTGTGGTGCTCTAGTAATAAACTTCTTAAAAAGCCGACCAAGTTTTGTTTTTGCCCCTCGCAGCCTGAAAAAACATGAAATAACGCCCCTGATTGACAGTGTGAGTGATCAGTAACAAGTTTAAGTTATTCATTGTTTTGTGCCTGCACAGAAAAAAGTCCGAAGTGTCTGCCACTGCTACCTATTTTATTATAAATAATATTATATAATTTCACTATATTGACTAGGGTGCTGTCCATAAAGTATGTCACGCTATTTTTGACCATTTTTACCCCCCCTCCCCCTGTCACAAACTGTCACAAATCTCGGGAACCCCCCCACCCTTAAAGTACGTCACACTTTCGAACAAAATTTTTAAAAAAATTAACACCTAATTAAAATTTAATCTAAAACACACTTCACTATTAAACTGTATTAAAATAAAATTTCCCCTTAAAAGAACTATCACATAATTAAAATTACTTTAATAGTAGAATAGTTAATTGTCAACAGTTGTCACAGTTATTCATTGAAGCAGAAACTCAATCTAGATTGAATTTGAAAACAAAAATTGCAAAAATTAGACTAGACAATTATAAAATACACATCATTTATCTGCTGCTTTTTCCTTTACAAAAGGCGAGGTCAAGTTTTAAGTAATTTCCGATTATGCAATCTTTTTACACAGGATAAAAAGTAGATTAGCGAAACTTGACCTCACCCAGTGATTAAATAATAAAAAGGAAACAAAACAATTTGACTAAAAAAGACTAGATTGACAAATGATGTGATTCATTGTGATAAACTCTTGTACTATATTAAATCTGTTTAATATGGGTCTGTGAATTATGTTTAATTAAAAAATATTCACTGGACATCATCCATCCATGGTGAAGTAAAATTTTCATCAATAGTTACGACTGGCATCAATCTTTCATCATCATCGTTTCCTGGAAGGAAAATTGCAGACAGATCAACTTCATCCTCATGTAGCCACTCAACATCCACTGAATGTTCATTTTCTTTTCTGGCAATAACTGCCATGAGTTCTCTTTGCCTTCTAGCAGCGATTCTCAAAGGACTGATGCATTTTATCTGAGTTGATTCTGGAACAGTTTGGGTTGGCACATTCTCCAGAGCCCAAGCTCTGTGTTGTCCTGCATGTTTCTTCAACATTGTTTTTGAGGCAAAGTATAAGTGACATACTTTGCAAATTCAATCAAGTAAGGTGGTCTGGAAAGGTGGACAATAAAGATCATATAGTTGTACTTTGAAAATTCCTGTTGATCTCAGCAAGGCTATACATAAAACCAGGCTTTGCAACAACATACTAGTGCTCCTAGCGAGAGGAATCGTGAACAACACATTCAGGAGATACGCATTTCATGCTATTTTGACATAAAGCTAATTCGAATGTTTCACAAAATTTTTGAAAATTATTTTTAAAGCTATTAAATTCTACACAAAAAAAAAAATTAAAAAAATTAATTAGAAATAAAATTAAAAAAATAAATGTGTGACGCCACACATGGCCCTCCCCCCTCCCCCTCTCCCAAATTTTCACACTTTAATTCGAATGTTTCAAAAAATTTTTAAAAATTATTTTTAAAGCTATTAAATTCTACACAAAAAAAAAAATTAAAAAAATTAATTAGAAATAAAATTAAAAAAATAAATGTGTGACGCCACACATGGCCCTCCCCCCTCCCCCTGTCACAAATTGTCACACTTTCTTACACCCACTCCCCCCTCTGGAGAGTGAAGTACTTTATGGACAGCCCCTTGGTGTAGACCAGCATTAACGCAAACGTATTTTCCACGCCCATATTTTTACACTTCTTTGATGATTAATACTGAGTGAGACTGTGAGTGTGATGTTGATGGCCGCTAATCCAATTAATTAAAAGTTTTGGGAAAAAAAAAATAAAATAAATATTGTGATCTTGTTCTACTTCCAATTGAAATTGGTTTCTATCTTTTATTTAGGAAAACCTGTGATGAAAGGCGAGTTTTACACTTCAGGACTCAGGTCCTGACAAAACTGTCAAAGTCAAAGGGGTATTCTTCGTACACGGGGGGGGTGGTGGTGGGTCATATTTATGTGACGAGTGGGAGGGGGTCGTTTAAGCAATGTGACTTCACATTAAAAGCGGAAAGTTATTGCAATATATTGCAGTTAAATAAGATTAAATTACAGACATTATTAACTTTATTCTTTTTTCAGCAATTCTAATAATTTTATTTTTAAAGTATGATTAATGAGAAAATCAGTACAGGTATGCTAGGTACAAAAAATGGCCTCTGATCAATTTACAGGCTGCTGAGGAGGAGGAGAATCGGGGTGTACTAACATTGACAGTCGTGAGAATTTATGTTGAAATGTGAAATATGAGAGTCATAGAATGAGGGATACCACAGGATGGGACTAAAAGTGGTTGATGTTGGGGGGGGGGGGGGTGGGTGNNNNGATCGTAGTAAATGTCCTAGGACAGGGATTCTTAACCATTTTACAGGGCTGCATCCCTTCTTACTTTCAAAATATTTGCTGTTAAACACCCCCCCCCCCCCAAACCACAGCATAAATTATATTATAATAAAAATGTTAAAAAATTTATTGTCATTTTATCACTCTAAACAACTTTCTAGAAACAAGTAAAAAATTACTAATACAAGTAATATACAAACAAAATTTACCATAAAAATATTTACTGCTGCTAATCAAAATGAATCAAAACTGATTTTTTTTAAGGCAGCAACAACTAGCTATTGCAGAAAATGTCATTTTCTGTGTCTTCCATATCTCAGAGGGTGCTTTGACCAATGGTTAAGAACCACTGTTCCAGGTAAATTTTTCTGACACAAATGCAATACCGTAATTTGATATCCATGGGTCTGTAAAGGACAGAAGTGGACAGAGTGATTTTTATTGAGAGGATGCAGAGGTTTGGGGCGTTATAATTGAGGGGGGAGCCAAGTTTTTGTGACTGTTTGTATGTAATGATGGGGGAGGAGGAGTAACAATCAGCAAATCATCAGTGGTGTATACTTTCCAAGATGTCTTTGAGTGCTGTTTAATTTTAATTAATTTTTTGGACAGCAAAAACGTCTTGTCAATTCTACATTTTACTCATATGGGTCGTTCATAAAGGGGTTCTGCACTGCAAAGAGGGGCTTCATTCAAAAGTGGACGACTGCAGACAAGGGGATGGTGTGTAAAGGATCTCTCTCTCTCTCTCTTTTTTTTTATGCTTAAATGTTACCCTGTAAGATAAAAAAAAAACTGTATGAAAATTCACAAAACAGCAGCATGGAAAACTGTATAGAAAAAAAATGGAAAGTCAAAAACGGCATAATTTATTAATTTTTCATAATTTTTATCACTGTTTTGAATGCATGAAGAATATTAAAAAATGAATAGTCTCCCCTTCATTATTGTATATTTAAATTAATGAAGTAAAATAAAGTTTGTCTGTCTTGACAAAGTTGTTGAGTTCATAACCTCAATTTTCATTGTGCCAGAGGGATTAAGTTTAAGCAATGCCATTGTAAAAAATAGGATTATATGTCTAATGCTAGCCATTGATTGATAGAAGTGAAACCAAGTCAATCCTTTCCTGGACACCGATTGGCTCAGCCTCACAGATGTTTATTTCTCTCATACACGCTTCTACATCTCCATGCATCGGAAGCATCTTTGGTCTTGTAAATGTTTGCCATTTCTGAGAACTTTTATGTAAGTTCACGATGGCCCCTAAGTGTGCTGCTTCTTCTAAGCATTCTGACAAAGATGAAAAGAACATCAGTGCAACAGCTACTGTCTTTTTCAACTAGGAAGCAAAGCATGTCATGACAAGTCGTAATAAGTTCATAGTTGCAGTTTTCTGCCCTAGCCATTTGGATCAGCGACAGCCTCAAGAAAAACATTCTGTTGGATTCGCTGGTCATCCAGAAGAGGGTGAGGCAATGGACTGTTCTGGAAAAGAATTCCTTCCCGGACATTTATTTTCAAGGCTGAGGTCAAGGTCCGGGGCTTCAAATTAAATAAGGTTTCTTGGGATCAGGAGGAGTAAATTGGCCTTACCCTTGAGCATCTCTCGCAGGTCATGAGAACTCTTAAGAAAATACAGGACATGATTGGGGAATGGGACCCACAACTGATGCATGCATCGCGGTTCCGACATGTACTTGATGGATCTATGGAACCCTACAAAAGCCTCCTCATGTATATGAAAAGACAGCACGAGCAACTGCCTATCACAATGTTCGTCAGCCGTGCACCCAAACACCCAATGTCTATGCCTCGTGCTCCTTCAGCGGAAGAAGACGACGACGCACCTGCTTAAAGATACTGTACCTTCTGAATACTCACCTACTGAAGTCGTCCCTTCAGAGGAGCATTAACCTTGTTTTTCTGTTCTGTGCAGTATGTCTCCTCATTTTCATCGCTTCATCATCAAAGTCACACTATTTTCATAGGTGGTGGTTGTTTGTAAGAAATGTGAGTGTGTGTGAAATTAAATGTACAATAATAATAATATGATATTTGTAATGTCTAATATGTATTATTATCTCTTATTTTGTCTAATATATTGGATAATATGAGTGTAATGGTTGCTAAAGGGGGGTCTTATTTCATGGCCAGAGGGTCTCATCATGTTAAAAACCATATTTAGGGTTGTGAATAGGTTCTCTATGCTCTAAATACGAAAATATTCATTTTATAAATAAAGAATCCTACTTCAATGAGAGTCTGGAACTGATTAACCGCAATAAACACGGGATGACTGTAATCGTATCTACACCAAATTAGAAAATGATTTCAAGTTTAGACAAATCCACAATGGATTAAACATATCTATAACTTATTGACAGTATGTTTGCTTTTGGTAACCTTATCGCTAGTTGCCATGAAAAATACTAACTACACTCAAATTGTGATAAATATGACCAAAATTATATTTTTTGTTTTACATTCTAACTGTAACCAGGTTGTTTTTTTAATTACCTTCCTGTCGGTAAATCTCCAACAGAAACAAAAGGAAGAATATCAATATATAACTAGTTTTACTATGAAACACACTGTGACGCTCACACCAGCTCATGGCCACAATAGAAGGGATATTTGGCACTACCTGCAGTTTATGTTAGTTAACCCGTCACACAGGGAAAAAGTTGTAAGGTTTCTTGTCTTGCTTGTCTGGTAAGTCTGCCAATAACAGTCGATTGTCGTTTTTTTTAGTGAAGGAGTAAGAACCCTCCAGAACAGAAAGTCTAGAAATTCAATCACAAGAGATTTTTTTCTCCCTCTATGCAGACCCTTCTGGAAAAGTAAAAAAAACTTTCCTTCTTCTTCTTCTTCTTCTATATATTAAGGGCCCACGATCAATTTATTGATCATTTTGGCTCCTATGCATGTAGAGGGGATTTGCAATGTTTCTGTGCCTGGTGCTGATGAGGATATTTCAATGATTACAAGTGCTACTTTGTGAAGGAATCATGCAATGGGGGTTGGAAGGCTTGAGGCAATAGACGCAAATGTGTCTAGTGTTGTGGCCTCAACTGTATTTTTGAAAGCTTTTTCCAGTCCCTGATTGTCTTGGGCAGGAATGAACAATTCCTATGCTGGCTTCTTGCTGGTATGAGCCGGAATTGCCTGTCATGGCCTCCTCGCTGTCTATGGGGGAGATGGACGAGTTTCTGTTTAATACTTGAACAGTGGACCAGCCCATTATTTATTTTGTACATCATGGAGAGCCTGGATTGTCGTCGTCGTTTCTCCAATGGTGACCAGCCTAGTGTTTCCAGCATGCTTCCAACACTAGAGGTATTCCTGTATCGGTTCAGGACAAAGCGTGCTGCTCGTCGCTGGACCGCCTCCAACCTGTCAATGCTCTTCTGGGTAAATGGGTCCCCGACTGAAGATGCATAATCTAAAATCGGAAGGACAAAGGCTTTATATGCTCTTTCTTTTAAACAGGAGTTGTCAATCTTCAGGTTACGCTTTATGTAATGTTTTTCTTTAGTGAAGACCGTTTCATCATGAACCCCTCTGCCTCTGGGTCGCAAACTCTAGCTGCGCCGTTGAATTTGTGGAAAACGTACAAGATGCGCCGATGACATCCTATTCTTGTGGCGACCTGTTCTGATGGCACCATTCTATTATTTAACTTAGATATGTTATGAAGCCCACTCTGGGAGGGTGTCATCCGGTGGCGTTCGCATCCCCACCCCCCACCTTCTCCACTGTGACGCTACTGTTGCAGTATGCACTTTATATTTATGTTATTATTGAGCTATGTCACACGATGCTCAAAATTGAAGATTTTTAGAAATGAAAATAATTTAAGTCATTATTTGGATTTTATATCATATCGTTTTTTAATTAGCAAGGCAGCTTGATAACTTTATCAAGATTTCCATCTAACTTTCTATGTCCATCTAATCCTGGAAGGGAGGTAATTGTGGAAATTGCCCCCCCCCCCCACACGAGCGCGCACACACACACAAAACCGATTGAAGGCGAAGGGGGATCACTCTATTTATTTAAAAAAAGATACTTCCGTGAAGTCACAGTAAAATAGTTTTTACATTAGTTAGCCTAGCTGCTAGCAAACAAAAATTGTCAGCTATTTGTTAAACTAAGTCTCATGCTTTTTAAAGGAATTAAACATAAATTTTTAAACTGTTAAAGGTAACACTGAAATTTGATCAATGCTTTGACTGAGAAAACTGCAAGCTGTTCAAAACATTTAAGTATTTTCAACTTTTTTTACGGTGGCTCTCAGAATACATTTTTGCTGAAAGTTTAAAAAAAAAAGAAGTCCTCTTTCTAATAATTCTATTAACTGAAAAGTTCATTTTTAAATAATAAGAGATTAATAAATATTTATCATTATTAGGCTTAAGTAGTAAAAGTTGACCTACTCCTATACTATTTAGTAGATTATAACTTAACTTGTTATTGAGAAATCAACATTCATTACATTTTCTGTGTATATATTAAAAAAGAAAGTTAACTCTAGGAACAATCCAAGAATAAACAAAAGGGAGAGAAACCTACATAGAAGCTCATAGTGGCACGCCGAACCAATATTAGACCAATAGTACATTATGATTATTATACTATACATATATATATATATAATATAATAGGCCGGTAAATTCAGAGAAAGCGGCCCGAGTCTATATCCATGGCCGTCATCTTGGTTGCCTTGACCCGCGCACTTTTACGTGTTCACGGGTCGAGGCAACCAAGATTGCGGCCATGGAAAAATAAAATAACTCATGTTTGCTAAAATTAGGAAGAAAACGTTAAAAATTTATGAAAAAAATGTGTTAAATCTATCCCTATGCCTAACCCGAACCCTAAATCACTAAACCTATCCCTATGCCTAACCCGAACCCTAAATCACTAAATCTATCACTATGCCTAACCCGAACGCTAAATCACTAAATCTATCCCTATGCCTAACCCAAACGCTAAATCACTAAATCTATCCCTATGCCTAACCCGAACCCTAATCAAAATCGATCCCTAAATCCTACGCCTAAAGCCACTAGTAAAAGCACGTGGAATTTACGTAATGTGGCAAGAAAACGATAAAAATTAACAAAAAAATGCCCAAAATAATTATAACATATAGAAATGATGAAAATCCAACTTACAGTTTCATGAAATACACACCCCACAGGCACCCCAAAGATATCAAATATGGCGCAACCGAATAAAAATTATAATGAGCCAACCAATGAAAATTTTAAAATTATAATTAATCAACCAATAAAATTTTAATTCCGAAAATGTATCTCTTTTTTAAAAAAAAATACACAAAAATAATGGGAGTGAATCCAAAATAAAGTCGTCGTGGGCCGCTAAATCTGAAATAGCTAATAGGCCTATATGACTATGACTATATGTTTGGTCTTGGACTTGGTACGCTCTCCGGGTTCCCTCTTTTTCTTGTGTTTTTGCAATACTTTTTTTTGTACACAGCCGCCATTTTTGTTGCCATGATGTTTCCTGTCATGGCAACAAATATGACTGCTTTGTCAAAAAGGTAGTACACAAAGTTGAGGGCCAAAATTGGGAGGTCAAAGGAAGAGATTGTGTTTTTTGCTAAAAACCTTCAAACCTAAAATCTATCACTCTACCTAACCTGAACGCTAAATTGCCTGAACAAAAAAATCAGTGTCTCTAATTGAAGCATAAGTCTTCAAACCTAAAATCTATCAGTAGGTCTAGACTCTAGATCTAACCTGAACTTAAAACCAGGTGTTCAAATTCATATGCTACAGTTACACATTGTAGTGAGAAAATTGTAAATTTAATAAAAAGATTTTAAAATTTATTTTAAATATAAAATATAATGAAAACACAACTTACAATTTCATCGAATACACTTTTACACACTTTATTACAGGCTCCACTGAAAATAAAATTCAAAACATGTCAGAAAAGTCAAAATCTATTTTTCAAATTGATCAGATGATCACAACACACAGGCATATTAACATCACTTTTAAATATTATAATTCACCAAGCTATGAAATATTAATTTAAGAAAGCCATTAATAAAAACATTCCATCAGTGTATTAATATAAAAAGAATAGAATAGTTAAATCTAGTAAATATCCATGACTAAACAAAGGGGAGTTGCCTCTTCCACAGAAACTCATGGGGACCTGTAAATTATAAGTTGACCATGGTTTTCTTCCACTGTCATAAAAAAAAAAGACTAAACAAAAGTATTAAAAACAGGGACATGGTCTGTATAAGTTTGAAAAGAAAATTAGCTTGAAAGAAAGTAAACATAAATATGCAATATAGGAAGTAAAAAAAGTCTAAAAATTATGGGAAGGTTGAGGAGGTTATTTGCAAGTGACAATTGTCAAGATATTTTATGTGCCATAAAATATTTTTAAAAGTGATTTTAAAAAGTTAATCAGAATAAAAAGACATTGTGAATGAATGACACTTCTTTTAATACTTTTATTTTAATATTAATTAATATCAGTCAGAACTTTCCTCAAGTTGCAATAAAACATTGAAGGTTTACACAAAGCCATCAAAACAACAACCATCAACTTTCTTCAATTAGTCCATTAACTGCACATGATAGAGAGCACTGACACATATAGTTATAGTGTTTATCACATCATAAAAGGCATCACTTTAAGCAAGTTGTGCCAGACTTTCTTTGTGAACATCCATCCATCCCTGTGGCGCTGCAGCCCATATGATGTAGTGCTTTGGCCTGCCTCACCACTTCCTTCCACTCTTTGTGAACAATGCAGTGAAATGCTGTTACAACACTACTTTAGTCATCACAAGCCAATTCTTTAAAAAAAAAGTAACAACCTGTATAAAAAAAATAAAAAATAAATAATTCAAATCATAAATGTTTTAAATAATTGATAGACAGCAAAACAGCAAAACTGAAATTGAATTTATAAAAATTAAGGTGGTTTCACTCATTATGGTAAAAGCTTCATTAAAAAATATCTACAAAATCAATTCGTGAAAATGAAAGCTTTAGACTTTATATGACCACACTTTGTTTTGTCCAATGGCAAGAAGTATTAAAATTTGGGTAGGTTTGGGGAAATGCTATTGTTCTTGACTCCTTCTTATGATTAAAGTACTGAAAACATGGCAAAAAATGACTGTGATTTAATTATTATAATATTATGGTTTTCTAAAAACTTAATTTTGCAGTTTTCTGATATGCATTTTTTTCAGCTGTTCTAATTTATTTCTATGCAGATTTCACCGAAGTGAAAACCAGGAGTGACTTTCAGGACCAAATGTTCACTGCAAAACTGTATGTGCTATAAACATCATTTTGGTGCACAATTTATATCTGTGTAATTAGAATCAAAAACTTTCCACTAAATGGAAAAATAAGTAATTGTAATTTTAAAAATAATTAGGCATGAGTTTTTTTTTATTTAAGTCACTATAAATTGTGTCACAAAGTCTGGTCAAAACCGTTATTTCTTTTTGCCATAAAATGACATTTTGAATGAATGATTATGAATGATACTTTCTATATTTAATATTAATTAATATCAATATTTTTTTGTTAATATGACGAAGAAACACAAATTAATTATACATCATTTTATTGATTAAAGCAAATTTATTATCTAAGGTTTTTTCTCTTTTACTTTTAACTTCAATCCAAAGAATTTTTTCGTACGTTATATAGGATGTAATCCTAGAAAATTAGTTTTGTAAGATGCAGTATCCCAGCACCCTTTGATGCATATAAATATCTTATTTCTCTGCAGAAATAAAATGGACAGTGACCTGCTGACTGAAGTATCATCAGCTCTAATGAGTAATAGTGCAGATGAGTCATCAGATGTGGTAGGCTTGCATGTACTTAGCACTGATTATGGTCATGGAACAGAAAGTATGATGGGAGAGCTGTCATCCGACGATTGCACCAGAAATGTCATTTCCATTCCCACACTAGCAGCAGGAATCCAAAGTTCCATTATTGAAAAGGACGGAGAGATAACTCTTAACTCTGCCTTTATACCTGAAAATGCTGTTTTGATGGAAACGCCAAGAGGGTAATTTTTACATTAAAATAATAAGTCATTTGTTCATGATATTAAACTTTGTATTTGGTCATTCATTTTCAAAATTCTTATTTGGATAGATTGATGTTGACGGTGCCTGAAAGCATGGCTGGAATATCTTATTGTGATGATTCATCACCAAGTGATTCATCCAGGCAATTACTGTCATGCATTCCAGGTCAGTTGAAACAAAAAAAATCCCCCGTACTCAAAGCAACAGACCATGGCATAACTTTTCTAAGCACATTTCTAAGTTCCCCTGACTGTTTTGCAAATTGAATCGATTGATTAGTGCCTGAAAATTCTCCAGGAAACTAGGTATTGTTAACAGGAATCCCCATCCCTTTTCATTGTGATCTGAGAGTGGAAGGGTATGTACCTGAAGCCTTTGAAAGAGTTTTTCTGAATTATTGAAGTTCAGCCATGATAGTTTCAATGGCTATATCTTGATATGGCTTTACTACTAATCCAAAAAAAGACTTGTGATAGTTCTTTTAGAGTAAGACAAATTTTAAAGATGTTATTAGGTGTTATAAATAATGTACTATATTTGCAACATTTTAGGAATTGTCCACAATTGTGCTATGAAATCAAGAAAATTCTATAGTTTGGTATGGCGTTGAAAGGAAATACTTGCCGGTATTCAAAACATTACCATATACTGCACACCATTTTTCTTAGTGAGGGACTTACAGAAATGAATGATTATAATAAAATGATTTAGAAAAACTTAAGTAATGTATGCAAACCTTTTTAAATGATATGCAAAAAATGATTGCTGGCTTTACAAATCCTGTGCATCCCCAGCTTAGTGGGAAAATCGATTAAGACTCGAAGACTTGCTGTTATGATTATAAATCTTGGATATTATATTTTAAAATTGAAATGATCATCTCTCATTTCTTGTGCAGTGTCCTTGTTCAGCACATGTGATGGTTCTGTGGATGTGGATGCTTCAGCAGTGTATGGCGGGGAGGTATCTAATGAATCGCATCTGGATGATGAAACTGAAGAGATGGTCACGCACCTTCAGGTAAAATTCTTTTGCTACTATATATGTATTTTTAAAAAAATAGAGTTGTTAACCATAAAATATATAGCAACAAATAAATTTGTTGTGATATTTGCTTTGCAGGACGATGCAGGTGGAGTCCAAATTCAACTTCATGACTCTGCAGATGTTGGGTTGCCATTGAAGAAAGAAATGATGGATCAACACCTGCCTTTGTCAGAAGAATCAGCAGAAATCTGCATCACAACAGTAAGTAGATAAAATCTTTTATGCTGTTTGGAATGAAGCATCTTCATTAAAAAATCATTGACATACATGTTTTTTATATAATCTATATGAAAATTTAGTGAATATTATCTTCCATATGAACTCATCTTTTTATATTCAACTTTCAGAAGAGAAAGGGTGGATGGCCAAAAGGCAAAAAAAGAAAAGTCAAACCAGCAGTTACAGGACCAAGAGCACCAGTGACGGGGTAGGTTAAAAAATAAAAGCACAAATTACATGGTGTTTATATTTTTTAATTCCATCCTGTTAAAAAAAATGAAAAGGTTCGGATATCAATTTTTGAGTGTTTGGGTGATAATTTTTTATAGTTATTACTTATCGAATACTGACGAATATTAATGGGGACTGCAATACATAAATTATTGACATTTTATTGATGTCCTGTGGGCCAAAAAAAAAGTAGTTCCTTAGCTGAGCTTGACAAGTGATCAATGTTAAACATGATTTGTTTGTCTGCAGTTATGTTCTGTATGCCATGGACAGAAGAAAGGAGATAAAGCAGAGTCATCCAGACATAAACTTTCCAGAAGTTACTAAAATTCTAGGACAAGAATGGAGTACCATGGCACCAGAAGTTAAAGATGTTGGTTCTGTTTGTGCAACTCATTTAGTCATAGTGCTTTATATTCCACTGCAATCTTGTTAAAATATTGTATATAATGTTTCAGTAATTTAGTGAGTAATGTATAAACTAATATACTATTATAGCATATAATGATGGTTTAAGTTAAAAAAAATCCTTAATTAGATGGTATCTTGTTTATGCAATAAAGAGAATTACTGAAATATTTGAATTAATCTATTTGCAAATTAATTATTTTGAAAACAGAAATACTTAGCAGCAGCAGATGAAGATAAAAAGCGCTACAGAGAGGAGTTAAAGGCATTCCGATCTTCAGATACATATCAAGAAACTGTGAGGAAAAAAATGATGCTAGGAAGCGATGGTAGGAAAATTGAGCAATTATTTAATGAGTTATGAAAATTAAACAGCTACTGAAATTTAAAGGATAAAACATCTTTAATTCTACCATTTACATCAGTAATGAAACAATAAGTATTCAACTTTACAAGATTATACATTATATATTTTTTTAATGCTGGGAACATTTGTCTTTTTATAGGTGATACAACTACAATTCAAGAAACTTCAGACATCTTAAATTGTGATGAGGTAAAGGATATTTGGTTTTTTTTACTTATAAATCACAAAAACTACCTGCCTAGAGGAATATAAGTACAAAATACATTTTAACATTTGACAAAGTGTGCTGTCTCACAATTTTTAAATAGAATAATGTAAGAATAGTTTTACAGTATCATCAACCCATTTTTTATATTTTACATATAATTATTAAGTTTCTTTCACCCCAGTTATGTTAAAAATGCATTTTTCATCTAACATTGCTTCTTGTTAAATAAATATTAATTTGCGTTTAATGGAGTTTTTCTTACATAAAGAAATTAGAAGGAAAAAGTTATAATAGGTACTTAATAATAAAATCATCCATACTTCTGTACCAATCTTAGAAGATAAGGATATATAAAATACTTTCTATTAATTTAGTCCTAAATTCTAAGCAGAAAGTGAAAGACAATAATCTTAATTTCAAGGGTGGATATTCTAGATAAGGGAATATTAAAAGTGAGTTTGTGGACTTAAACTTTTTCTCTGCCAGGACACTGCAAGTGAGCTTTACTGCAAAGTGTGTCAAGTTTACTTCAGCAATCTTCATAACAAGCGAGAACATATGTATGGAAAAGCACACATTCAAAATATTACAGGTAGAAGCTACTAAGTGTTGTTTACTAAGATTTGATACGTTGATAGTTGACATCTCATAAGTGAAAAATCAGATTTCAGATGAGGAAAATATTGCAGTAAAACCTGTAAATAGGAAACCTAGAAATAGCGCTGTCAAATAAGCTTACTCAGTTCTGCATGAATAGAGTTCTCAATAAATAACCCATGAAATAGTGCAAATCCAGTCAAATGTGAAATGTGCAGGGGTTTCTGTGGGACAAAATGATGGTTTTTCCCTGCGAATATCACATACCATGCTGTGCACCAACAAATTACATCATGAACGAGGAGTGGCACAAACCTTTTGATACCACGCTGTGTTCTGAAAAATCATTACGCAACAATTGTGTTGCGAAAAAGATTCCCTATGAGACTGAGAGTTGTGAATGATCAGTGGGTATAGCTATGTACATTTAGCCAAGGCATAGAGAAAGCAAGACAATCAAAATTGTGATATGTTGATGTAGATGAACTACATAAAGAATGTTTAAGCACAATAAAATCTCACCGAGTTTCATAATTGTTCTGTGTATGCACTTTCTGATAGATTAATTAGAAGCAAAGAGTTTGTGTAAATAAAACAATATAAGTTCAGCTTTAATAATGATCATTCAGAATACAAATGTAAATATTTGGGCAAATTCCCTCCTCAGTACAACAAATAAAAATTCCTACAAGTATAAATTAAATTTACATAATATATGTATGTATCCTAACTAAAAATAAAGAATAAGAGTGGGTGCAAGTCCCTGACAAAAATTAAGTTCAGAAGAACAGAAAGCAAGTGGGTGGAAGTAAAATTTTTAAATCAAACAAGAAAATACATTGGAGCTATGTGAATTTGTTTTACACTGTATGGAGCCAACGTACCAAATCTTATTAATTTATTTTCCATATAAATTCTATCCAGGGTATTACTTGCATACAATATACCAGTAACTGAAATGTCTAAAATTCCATCCTGGTTAGCACTATTGAAATGTTTTGAAACTGGACAAAGGGCTTGTTTATTTATGTTGTACAGGTGTTCTCTAAAACTTTCTGTTTTGTTTTACTCATTTATTCTCATTTTCAATGTGCATATGTCTTCTTCTTTCAAATTATTGTGTGTGATCATCATTCTGGCTTAACCTGCAACTATCACCATCCCTGCAAATAGCACCACTTTTGATTCAGTCCAAATGGTTTTAGCTAATTCATATTTCAAATTCATCTTTTCCAGGAGAAGTAGAAAAGGAACTTTTAAGGCAGCAAAGAGAAGAGCAGGCTTTTATGGACAGTGCATTAGTTGTATCTGAGGACATGTCACAAGATGGTTTTTCATCCACCATGCAAGGCACGGGAAATAGTAGTAGTAGTTCATGTAGTAGCAGTAGTGGCCTTGGAGCAGCACCCTCAGGTCCAGTGGATATTCATGGTTTTATGATGGAATTCATTCACAAAAATTATGGTAGGTGCATGCTGAATTCATTTTTTATAACAGATGCTACTTATTTCTTGTATTTGTATGTTGCTGTATTTGTATGTTGCTTTTTACATATCACATTAGCCTAAACAAACCAGACAAGGCATTTTTTACAAATGATCTTCTTGGAAGCAGAGCTATTGCACACCATCAGAACTAGATTTTCATGTTTTATTTTAAAATGTTTACTTTTCTGCTGTATTTCTGTGATTAGTTGACAGATCATGAATAATAATAACAATATCAGTGTGTATAACAAGTTGAGTGTTTGTTCCCTGGGGTAGATTATTTTTCCTATTAGATGTCATAAAAATAAACAGTATTTGTGGAACAGGATATTAAAATCATTTTTTGGCACTGCTCTACAGGAGCAGTGGACTTTTTTGGATCTGTAGAATTTTCACCAGGAAAATAATTAGAATCTAAATCTGTTAAAGTAGACTATAATAAGTGAATCTAATTTTATCCAAACTGGCTGAAGTAAAAATTTAATTCTCAACATCCTCTCTAAAATAATTGTTTTGAAATGTTTTGACTAATAGGAACTGAAAAGTTTAAAGTTCTATTAAAGTATATATGATAAAGTAAACATCTATTTTTTCTAGAGCGTGAGCAAGAAATATCTGTCCTGAAAAAATGTCTGAATAAAGCACTTCAAGATAATGTGGCAATGTGTAAAGAAATTCAAGCCCTTCAGGACTACCAAAACAAGTTAGAAGAAGAGATGAAGACACTGACCTCAACCACTTCAGCGCTCATAGTTCAGAGTGATGCACTGAAAATGGTACCTACTTTGTTTGGCATTATTAATTTGTGACCCTTGTTTTAATCTCTTCCTTAAAAAAAATTAAAACCATGTTTATAAATGACATGTCAGATCAGAATTTTATTTCCATAATTGTAAATAATATAAATGTGTAAATAATTTCATTTAGAAAATGTGAATGCAAAAATAAAATGTTACTTATTTTTTCATTAAAGTAATTGTAATTTGGTTGTTCACATTTTAAGAATGTAGTTATCAATTAATTTATATTATCTGTTAGAGTATTATAAAAAAAAACTGCCATTTGAACACAAGATAACTGAATGAGATGAATTTGTTCTTGGGAATAAAAATTGAGTCCAAGCATTCATCTTTTTTAAGTCTTTAAAGTCTGATTTGTCATTAACGTTTTTTATTTTGCTAATGTCCACACACCTGAAAGTAAAAAATTGCTTTACCAGGTTGCAGAACTTATGCACACAATGAAATGTGTTAATCTTTGCGTATTTCAATTTGGAAGTATCTGTTTATTCCATTAATGCCTTTATTGGTCATTTGAATTTATTTATATGTATAAATGTCTATCTTTGTGTGCTTGTCAGTATTATGGAAATACTTTGTAGACCACTGGCCATCAGGAAGTCCATGTCATTATAGTTCATTGTCAGTCTTAGCACATTCACCTAATCTGCCAATGTATTCCAGCCTAAATTAATTGTAAGATTTGATCTATAATAATATAAATATTTGCTGTTACTGTTAAAGTTATATTATGGTGCAAAAATGTTTACTGTATTTTTTATGATGGTTAGATTATTTAAAAAATGCCCTTTCATTTTCATTGTTCAAAATCAACACACTTTTACAACTGTGCAGAATATTTTTTTAAAATGACAACTCACTTTATTTCTGGATTTGCCAGTCAATTATGCATTAGAGTCTATGCATTTATGCCATAGACACATAAATCAGTGGAACTTGGAATTCTACTTCCTTTACTAACACAGGCCTAAAAGGATGATTGGTTGATGATAAGTATGATCTATCTGGGCTGTAAATGGTTAAATTAATTTTAAACATTTATTTTATACTTTTTGTTTGCTGTAAGTCAGACATAAAAATGTAGATCTAAGTGATTTTTAAGTAAAGCAGAACTGCCTATCCAATCAAATTATTTTGTGTCTTTAACTAACCCCTCTCAAAATTGGATTACAAGTAGCAAAATCATCTACTTTATCAAACTGTAACACTGCATTATGTAGACCTTTCACTGTAATGACTAAATCACAAAATTAAACAGTTTTATTGCTAACTTTGCTAGCCACTGCGACCATGGTGATACCCAGTGAACTTGTTGAAACGTTCTGACATTCAAATGGAGATTTTTTTTTCTTCATATATATCATTTACAAAGTACCGGTACTTGAAAAGTTTCCCAAAGAGCTAGGCGTAGTTTGAAAGACAGAATTAGAGATAAGCTATACGAAAGGTAAAATTGAGGTGACATAATTTTCTAGAAATGAACCAAAAACTCACTATTCACACTTGACAATTTTAATTTTTTTACATATTTTTAGTTGTGAACATAATATTTTTTGGTTTAAAACTGTATTTACAAATTGAGGGTGCAAAAAGCATACAAATTCAAAACATTATTACTGGTAGACAGGTCTGATAAAACATTGTGAGAATGACACTAGAATGTAAATGTTAATTGTGTACCGGTACATTTAATTCAGTGCAATATAATTTATTATATTGTATGTAATATATTTTTCTTGAGGATAGTCTACTACAGCGGTTCTCAACCTGTGGGTCTTGACCCCTTAGGGGCTCGAACGACCCTTACACAGGGGTTGTCTAAGACCATCTGGAAACAAATTTATGAAGTAACTACGATATTAATTTTATGTTTTGGAGTCACCACAACATGAGGAACTGTTTTAAGGGTCACTGCATAAGGAAGGTTGAGAACCACTGGTCTAATAAAATTCCTATTATTGGCATGAACTGTTAAGAATTTTTTATATGATGCAACATGTTTAATAAAATAAATCAATAGAAAAAAATTAATTTTCAAAATCTTTTCATTAAATTTATAAATTTTCCTTGGAAAGTGGTTTTGAATGCCTTAGATTTTATTGGCGGAAACTTATGTATATATAAGGGTATTTCATTATGGTACGGTTCATATTTAAGTTTAATTAATTTATTATGTTAACCTAATTGAGAAGAGAAAAAAACAACTAATGAGCAAAAATAAATTAGGAATACTGAGCGTTTTAAAATTTCTTTATTTTTAAATAAATGCAACAGGTTCTTTTTACATCAATGTTAAACAAATTGGTAAGTCAAAAAACAATTAATAAAAAAAAAACCTTTCTACTCTCAAATCTTTGGGTTTGTAAGTTTTATCTTTGTAGCATAATTTTTTTTCTTGTGTGACCCTCTCACGTGATCCAGTGTGCCTCATGCTGACCTGTAAGGTCACATCTGAGTTGATGACACAGAGCTGCAGCTCGATATGCTGGGTTGAGGGAGAGGGGGGTCGGGGTGATGATGGGGTTATAAGAAAAGTATTTAAAAAACAACAACCCTATCTCTTTGCTAACAACATACATCGGTCCTATCTGTAAGATTTCAAAAAGGGATTGGGGCATTTCAGCAATTAGACGCCAGACGGCAAGAAGTTGTTAAATTCTACTTTTAGTTTCATGCCTGGGTACAGAGTCGAGTTTACTATACCACTATACCTGTGATGTTTGAAGAATTCATTGTTTTAAAAAATTCTTCAATAATTTACAGATTAAAATTTTCATAATAAAAGTAGAAAATAATATTCTTAAAATTCATTTTACAATTCCCACCAAGATTGACATTACTAACTGTCAAATATTAGATTTTTAAAGAAATACATCAGAAGCTATACACATTGCATTATCTTTAAGTCTACATCTATTTATTGAAACTAAATTTAAACTCTGCACATAATCTGACTTATTTAAAAAATGCAAATGACGTTAAATAATTATTGCAAATTTTCCCAGAAAAAATAAGATGGTTTAAAATAAATTCTTACTTCAATTATATGTGAGATTATAACAGAAATAAAAACACTAATGAACAATAATGACTGTTACTTGATGCAAAACGATTGCCTATCAGATGTTATTTAGAAAGTAATCTTTAATGAATAACTCTTAGACATTTAATAATTTTCACATTCTGTAAATGAAAACAAAAGTCAACAAGTTTTTTTTGTTTTTTGAGTCACATTTTTAAACAACATTCTACAACAACAACAAAAAAAAAAACACAATTTTTTATGTAGGTTGGTCCGTGTTATCTTAATTTTTAAAAAGAAGCTTTTTAAAACTCCTTTAAGTCTCCTAATTTAATAAAAGAATAAGCTTAAATTTTTCTTTAGATGTGTGATCTAACTATACCAAATGTGTCATTGTATGAAAAATAATAAAATCAAACTGCAAAACAAAAGTTGTATTTATTGCTATGACTTGTTTATTTTTTCCTTTTTCTTTAACAAACAGCTGTTGTGACCCTCTCTGTTTCTTGCTATTTCAATGGCTAGGAACTGAGTTCTGACACCTGAAAATATAAAATATACACAGATAAAAGCAGATGGTACAAAAGCTCTGGAGTGATATTTAACTTGTTAATCTTTATAAACGTTATTACCAATGACTCAGCTTAAAAATTTCTTTTAAATATTTTAGAAGTTCAAATTTAAGATTTTACTTCTATGTCAAACCCAAATGGATGTTTTTAATGTTATTTTCAGTAATGTTAATGTGTTTCATGTGATAATTGAATGACTTTTTTGCCCTATGATGAGTGAAATTTATTTCATCTGAGGAAAAAGAATGTAGGAAACCTTGAAACAATGTGCATCCATTAAAAAAATTATGAAACTTCAGGGATTATGTTTTTGTTAAAATCCATTTACGATTTAATTGAAATTTTGTGTCTGTTACAGTCACTTATAGACACAGCTTTAACTCTAGTACCCGCTATAAAACTACAAACACATTTACATTCATAAACTTCCTCTGCCATTTTACCAGGTGCTTTAAATGTAAATATATATTTTTTTTAATCAGCTACTGGTGACGATATACTCAAAACATTATGCAATTCTTCATCATTTTTTAAATCATAGAATTATCTGACCAAATGAAATTAGAAATTACATACTGAAAATTGTACTATCCGGATTATAATCATCTTCACAGTTAAGTCGTAATAAAGTACCCATGTTGTAATCTTCAATTTCTCCCTTGAATGATTCACAGAAGGTTCTCCATTTCTATTAATAAAAAAATGGGAATATTGCAAATAAAAACATAAATTAAATGTTTTTGGTAATCCAAAACAAAACAAATTTTAAAACATAAATTTAACATCTTCACTATTCCAAATTTTAAATTAATTGAGCTTGAAGGTTCAGTTTCATGGATCCTTCTCAAACATTTGGTCTGGAGAACTTCCAGTTAATAGCCTTGGTGTTGTTGATCTGGTAGGATGGCACTATTTCAAATTTGTGGTTTCCTTGGCTGATTTCAGGGTCACCATCAGTCTCTAGTGTGATTTTTCTCCCTGATTATTCAAACTCTGTCACATCTACCAGTAAGCTGTTATTCACAGAGATTGTGTCCTCCACTATAGCATTTTTCTCCATGAACTGCGTCTTTGTAGTATTGAGTTTCCAATCTAAGCTTTCAATAGTTTTCTCAGGTAATAAAGATAGTTTAAAGAGATATAATAATGGACTTTAATTATTTTAATCTGTTAATGTTTATATTTTGAAAGTACTTTTCTTTTTTTAAGAATACTTCGACTAGAAGGTATAATATACATTATGTTGTTACTTTGCATTCTATCCGAGTCAGAGAAAATTATTTTAAACCTTCATCCTCAGATTCATCTAAGTTAGAAACAATTTCAATTATTTCAAACAAAGATATTTTTTTTTCATGAGATGAATATGGTTCATCAACCTACTTAAATGTAAAATGGAACTAACCATTGTCACATCATTTAGTATTACCCTGTGAGCACAAAGTAAATTTTTTTTTTGTAAGAGCAAAGAACTATTTTTCCAATCTGCAGCTGTGAGATTTTGGCTATCATTTAAAAACAAATGGGTTAAATTTGGACATAATGTAATCTCAAAGTGCATTGAAAACACAATATTTACATCTATCTGATTTAAGCTCATTTTTGTAACAAATATGACCCTTTTTGTATGCACATTAAAGTCTATCAGGCATGCATGCTTAGCACGCTCCTATATGGTAGCGAAGTGTGGACCACATATATCAGCCAGGAGCGGAAACTCAACAGCTTCCATCAAAGATGTCTGTGTAGCATTTTTAGGACAGTGTACCTAATGTGGAGGTTTTGGAACGTGCACACATGTTTAGCATATTCTCCTTTCTAACGAAGAGGCGCCTTCGCTGGTTAGGTCATGTATTGAGAATGGAGGAAGGGCATATTCCAAAGATACTGCTGGAGAGTTGGTAGAAGGGACAAGACATATTGGACGACCGCGCCTGAGATTTATTGACGTTTGCAAACGAAGCATGAGGGAAGCCAATATTGAAACAAACGAATGGGAGTTCATTGCCGAACATGGCTACAACTGGCGAACAGCAGTGTTTGAAGGAGTAAAAAAGGCAGAAGATACTCGAAACGAGGCCCTTAAATCAAAAAGAACAATTCGGAAATCAAGAATTTACCGGGATTCAATATTCTCCTGCGAGAGGTGCAGCCCTGATTGCCATTCTAGGATTGGCCTAGTGAGCCACTCGTCAAAGTGTAGAACTCACGAAGACGGAAGGATGCCATATATATATATAAAGTCTATAGATACAGGTGACAAGGGGATATAAAAAGTAATTTTATAAAAAATTTAACAAACCTCCTTAGCTTCTGGTGTTTTCAAATCACTTTCAGTCAGTTTTGCAACATTTAAATCTGGAAACTCTTCTCGAAACTTTGTGTATATTTTGTCATCAACCTTTGTCAATCTCAGACAGGAGGCATCCACTGATGTGATGAGCTTTAAAAAAATGATTGTCAAGTTTTTGTAGCATTGTCATACTAAGTGAAATCATAGGGATAAAATAAATAATTAAATAGTCTTCTGATTTAATTTATGAGACATAAATAAATACTATATTATAACTTTAGTTTAAAAGTATGTTGAATATGGAGTCTATTGGATGAAAAAACCACCCCCAACAAACTTCTAACTTTTAAACTTACATTGTAATGTACAGTTGCATGATCCATTGCTTTCATAGCCCACTGCATCTCCACATTACTCTAAGAAATAAAAACAACCTTATAACATTTCAGAGTAGATGTTACAAATGATTGAATTTCAATTACTGCAAAAACTACGGTACTTAAAACACTCCAGGATAAATTAATTCCAATACTATGATTAAAGTTAAAAGTTAAAATCCTGGCATCCATTTTAAAAAAAAAGTTTGTTTACTGATGTTATTAAAATATACAAAACCATAAAACCATTAATTGAAAGCTGCAAAATAAGACCGAAAGATGGCTACTCATATTAATTTGAATGTTAATATAACTAGTATGTTATTTAAAAGTTAGTTAATTTTTATAATCTGGCAAAACAAGAATATCTTAAACTTAAATATGCATCAGCTAAAAATGGCCTGTTTATTTGCTCTGGGCTCCAAAATTTGGTAAATGCTGGAATATGGTTCCCAATATCTTTTATCATACATACTTGAGTAAGGGGCACACTTTAACATTTTTTTTTTATAAGATCAGGGGTGTGACTATCCACTCAACATCAAAGTTGCCTACTGTTATTCAGTGTTAAGTAATTAATACAATTATATATGAGGTAAAGCGTAAAGTGGTGTGAAGTAAATAATTAGTGGAACAAGATATGTTTAGGCTTGAATATAAAAGACAGGATAACTAAACAGATGTTTTGGCTAGATGCCTTCTTCAGGAGACAATAGAAAACAATAAGCAACAGATAATTTAAATTAAAAATAAAAATGTATGTGTTCAAAAAGCTCAATTAAGTCAATGTTGCTCAATGCTCAGAACAGGAAAACTTTCACTCCAGCGGTAGGCCGTTTTTTAAAAATCACATAGTTTATGATGATTTCTTTTCAGTATTCATGTTGTATTGGACAAATTTTGGGATATATGTTTAACAAATATTAGTTATATTTATGTTAAAAAGGGGCCATGTAACTCCCCAACTGAGGGTGCGACCTATCTACAAGTTAATCGCAAATATGGACCTAAAGGTAAGTATATACAGTACAACTGCATTGTCACATTCTTTTTTATTACTTTGAAAAGTCTTCATCATCCTTTTTAAAATAGGGTTTTATCAGAATGAGGTTATAATCCATTAAGCAGACCCATACATTAAAAAGTATTTAATATCTCTCAAATTCTTACTTTAATTAGAAAAAAATTATTTTAGAATTAACCCTTTTAAATCAAACTGTTAGACAAAGCAAATACATCTATATGTTTACCTTTAAATGACAAAAAGAGCTGAAAAGGGAGCTGCCGTTTTTCATAAATTAAGCAGAACTCAAAATAAAATGGAAATGGAAAAGGGAGAAACTGGAGTAAACCGGTCATTGATATTTTCTTTGCTTTAGCTGAGGGCTTTCATTGTAACTAAGTGCGCCTCAGAAAGACAAAGAACCAATCAGAGATAGCATTTACAAAAGGTAAAAAGTGAGGTGACACAACTTCCAAGAAATTCAGCAAACTCTCATTGTTCACACAAAACTTTTTTTTTGAGGGGGTGAAATTATTCATTAAAAAAAACAATAAATCAGTTTTCTTTCTTATTATAGGTGCAAAAAGCATCAAATACGTAAAATTAATATGGGAAGGCAGGTCTGCTTAAATCACTACAACTGTTTAAGTAGGCGCTGATATAAAATAAAAGTCAGTCAACAAAATATTTCCCTGTCAAACAAAATGTTTCTTCATGTCAATATCATTATAAGATAAAATAAATTCCAATGAATGCAACCTATTTGGCTTCTTCAAATGAAAAGTTATGTGGCCTAGCTAAATTTGTTTTCATAGTCTAATTCTTTTTATAAATTTTCTTACATTGTTTCCAAGCTCCTCAGGTCTTGTCAAGGCAGCACCAACTTGTTGCAATTCTGAGGCATTCTGGGATTAAATGAGATTGTTAAAAGAAAACAATGAACCAATCCTTGCATATAATTTAAATTGGCAAGTCTGAAAATATTCAATGGATTAACTAAGATATCCAGGAACAGGTCATTTTTTGAAAATTTTGATATGACATGTGACTAAATTTTTTGCATCCAGACATGAGTTTTTAGTTTTAATACAAATTACTGTGTCACAATACACATTTAATTTGGGTAGAAAAGCAATGCCATGCTAACGGTGATTTACCATATTGCACATAAAAATCAAACTTAGTCTTATTTTTAAACTTTAAATTTTTATGCCTTCATCTGAATCTTCAAAACTAACACTTTCTTTCCATTCTTCTGATCTTTGGTTTTGTGAAAAAACTTGAGACCATTCTCTTCTGTGATTTTCTTCATATTATTAGGTAGGATATATCATAAAAAGGTAAGCCCTTATTTTAGTTCAGTAGATTCCATAGTTAACTTTAAAAAAATAAATAATCAACTTATTTCATTATTAAAAATAATTTTAAATTAAATTTTTTGGAACCATATATCAAGTTGAAATAAGGTAAACCTATTTCTTAATTACTCAGGTAATAAGGGGAGAGACTGCAATCAGTTTAGCAAAGTAGGAATTAGTAAAGCATAGTAAGGTTAAACCTGAAAAAAGAAGTCACCACCAGAGCTAGGCGGACTTCAATTAGTGCGATTGCAGACCTGTTTACCCTCAAACTCTTAAAATCGTAGAATATCATCACAAAATCGTTCAATACGTTATATTTATAGTAAAAAATAAACAGTATATACAATCTATACACCTTAAAATCGTACATTGTACGCCAAAATCGTAAGAGTAAACAGGTCTGCGATTGTAACTAGCATGAACACACTCAGCCGGGTGAATTTGGAACACAAGCTTATCCTAACCTATGGCACCTTGACATCACATGGCATGAATGTCATGTCTCTATTCACAGCTTGAGCCTTGCTCCGCCCCACCACGTCAGGACCTATCGCAGTGGACTAACTTCTCCTCTTTTTCTTTCCCTCTTCCCTATTTAATCTCTCACCCACTTATTTTCTGTCTCAATTCTTTTGCTGCCCTCTTGGATACTACTTCTCAGGTTAGTGCCATTTTAAAAATGTTATTTTGTTTTTTCTGTTGTTCGCTAAAGAAGGCTTCCTACTGACACGTTCATTGTTTTGTTGTGTTCCTTTTGTCAGGTTTAACCTTACTCTGTTTTACTCATTTCCTGAATTACTTGTATATTCTCCACCAGTTTTGATTTTCATGATAACCACTGTTTAAAGCATCCAATTATCTACAAGAATGGGCTAATTAAAATTACCCCCAACCTAGAACAATAATTTTATTAAATTTTAAAAAACAGTCACCATATGGGTGTTTCCTCCCATTTTCAAGAAGAAATGGAGATCAATGGTGAAGTTTGAAATGCAAGCACCAGAGACTCATCACCCAGATGAGGATAGACTATTCTCCTATTTAAAGCTATCTGAACAAATTACATCCGCTTCGGGACCAATAGCTCAGACCCATAAAAGGAATGTAATATTTCAAGATGGCAGCAAATTTGCTCCAAATTCACCTCAGCACATCATTTTTAAAACTTCAGTAATAATATGATTGCTCAAAAATGTTAAAAACACTATTTTAATTTAATTGAGGTACATATTATTAACTAAGAATTTATATATAAATATATATTTCATTGTATTTAATTGCTTTAGTTTAATAGTGAAAATTCCACTTCTATAGGATAGGCTTATTTAGGACGTTGGTCTCAGCTACCTCACATGTATTGCATGGAAATATTAAGGAAAATATTCATTTTACTTTCATAATAGAGTTAAAATTAAGATTGGTTTTGTTTTTAGATGAATTGGATTTTGAAATACTTCACAAATCACAGATATATTTGGTTTTTAAAAGTTATCTTCATTAATTGCTGAAATAACTTCTATTTACTGCTCTATTTAACATCTATCTCAGCTCTTTGCCCAGTTTTCATTTTAGTCACTTTTATATTTTCCTATATGACTATTTTATGTATCCATAAACAGAGTTATCCCAAAATAATTCACAATAAGAATCATAACGTTCTTTAGAATTGAATTACAACCATAAATTTGGTAACAATGAAATGATTTTTTCAGGCCCTATCTAATCAACTAGCTCATAACTAGGTACGCGTGAGTAAGGGATATTGAATGATTACATAACATAGAGTTGTAGATTTTTCTTTAAAACATTTAATTAAATGAGCATGTTTTTTGCTAATTTTAAACTACTTTTTAGCAAACATGTTTTGGCACTTCTTTTTTTTTACACCGCTGCCACCTTTCTTGCCTGCCACATCTGCCAAAACAGCAACAAAGACGCAGCAGTGAAGTGGAAAAACACTGTAAAACGAGTGGCATGGATTGTATATATTAACCAAAAATACATTTTTTCTACTTTGACTTTATTATTCATATTCACAAATATTTCACTTGCGATTCCTGATTAACACAACTACAATGTAAGAAGGCAGAAGGTTTTGGTACATCCATAGCATATAATAAGCTATTGTTATAATAGTCGAGTATACAGTATATGATATGCTTAATACTATATTATATATAATGTCAATACTAATGAATTTTTTTCTTTGCTCTTCAGACAATTTTCAAAAACCGTTTTTGGCTTGGGGGAACCCCCCCCCCCCCCAAACTGGGCCTTTCTACCCCTCCAGGTTAAAGTTAAACCTAATGCCTAATAAAATCTGGGGCTAAAATTAAGAACGAATACCACAGCCTCTGTTGTGTGTTTATTAAAGTTGCCGTGAATTAGGGTTCAGTTTATGTTTAGGGATACATTCAATTCATTTAGGCATTTAGGGTTCAGGTTAGGTTTAAGTTTAGGGATACATTTAGGGTTCAGGTTAGGTTAAGGGATACATTTACTTAGATTTAGTGACAGAATTAACTGGTCTTGTCAACCAAGATGTCGGCCATTGGAAAAAAAACATGGCATCTCTTCTTTAAATTTGCCAAATCTGGTCACCGTAACTTCACTCACTAAGTAAGACAAAGTCACTCTAGATTCTAGGAATCATTAAAGTAGCTGCGGTTACTAGTCAACTAGAAATTAGTTTAGTCACGGGGCAGTTTAGTTAGGGTAAATGTTGAGGACGATGCCCAGGGTTTCCCAACATGGCTGCCATCTTTGTTGACATGATCCGTGAGAAGGTCACGGGCCATGTCAACCAAGATGGCGACCGATTAAAACAAAAAAAGTAGTGCTAAGACACGTGTTGTAGAAAAGGGGACGGTTGGGGAGAATGCATTTTATCAACTACTTACCGAAAGATTACTGTCGTTTGCGTGTTTATTCAATATTTGTGCAGGAGACATTCCCCTTCGTTTATTTGATTGTCGGAGAAAGTGCTGATGACATGTTTTGTATTAAAATTTTAATTGGTTGATTATTTATAATTTTAAATTATCATTGGTTGGCTAATTATCATATTTTATTTGTGCCAGCATCTTTTCAACACGTTAGCTTAATGCCGGCTGTTGCGATCTATTCATTTGTGGCCCATTTGTGCATATTATTTTCTTTGGAACCTGTAATAAAGTGTGTAAAAGTGTATTACATGAAACTGTAAGTTGGGTTTTAATACCTGTCTCTAACCCCAAATTTATCTTTAAAAAAAAAACAAATTGTAGATGTAAAAACAACAAATTTCGAACTTACCGCCGGACACCCAGAGAGCACATCAAAGAAGACGACAACCGACGTAACGTTAAAGCACTCCTTTCTATATACGCATAATTTTAAAGTACCCTACAAGAAAATTAATTTTTCTATTTTCATTAATATTTCGAACATTCTAAAATTCCCACACTCTTAGTAAGAATATTAAAAACATACAATTTAATTTTTTAAAACATAAAATGTAACTTTTATTTTAATCTTCATTAATTATTCACATGAAATCTTGTTCCAACCGGTAATTAAAATATTCCTTCGCAGCTGCACAAATATTGAATAAACACGCAAATGATGTCACACTCGTCCAATGAAAATAAACGGCTAAAACCGAGGACGGCAGCCACGGGGTCTTTTAGGGTTTAGTTTAGGTTAGGTTTAGGGATCGATTTAGGGTTCAGGTTAGGCATGCGGCATAGATTTAGGGTTCAGGTTAGGCATAGGGATCGATTTAGGGATATATTCGTGAAATTCGATAAAAAAGTGCAGGGGTCCCCTTTTTTAACCAAAATAAACAGTAAAATAAACAAAGGGGCAAGACTCCTGCACAATATTGAATAAACACGCAAATGCCGCCATGGGCACTGTTCTCAACAATAGCCTTAGTGGGTGAAGTAGTCTGACTTAAGTGTAAGTTTAGAGTTAGTTTGAGTTTAGTCTCAATCTAGACTTACTTTACAGTTTACTACTTTGATTTGACTCAGACAGAGTCCTTACTGACTTACTTAGCTTAAGACTTAAGGGACTAACTTACTAACTCTAATTAGTAAGAAAACAAACAGTGGAGTCTTGTTGCCCAGTACTTACCAAATTCGACATAGAGAATGCCATTCTATTTGTGAGGGTGGGTTAATTATTCAAAAATAAATTCTAAAAACGCTTTCTGTAAGGCTCACTGAAATAATTTCATATCACGTTTCCTTTTATTTTCATCAAAACAAAAAGTTAACGTTACTTCCGCTAAAAAAAACAACTATAATTCCGTAGGCCTACAACTAAATCAACTGTTGTTAAAATTAGTGCTGTACATTAAAGTAAAGAAAATGTTTTTATGATATGTGCTGCTTTTATAATTTTCCAAAATACTCCAAGCAAAAATAAATAATTTTTATTATGATGGTGAACAGAAACTGAAGAAGAAATTAATAAATGTGTGTATATTTTATTGGCCAGCACTAAGTACACCGCAGCGGTATATCTAGCAAAACTATTGATAATAATCCGAATAAAACGTATAGTTAAAATATTTAAATGGCTAAAAATAAACAAAAAACTACCGTTGCATTACAATTGAACATAATAGTTTAATTTAAAATATATTTTAAAATTGATATGAAAAAAAAACATGAAAAAACTATCAGCATCTAGGCCTAGGAATTGATAATAACATATGACATCGCCTAGAGTTTACTCTATTCTATAACAAGACGAAACCAAATCATATTTCGAACAGCCGTAACTTAAGACCAGGCCAGTGGTAAATTTTAGTTGCGGTGTACGCAGGCGTAGGTCCATGGTTTTGCTAGGTACGTCGCCGCGGTGTATGCAGCCACTTCGAATTTTAAAATGTACGTCAAAAACACCGATAGAAGCCTCTCATCACAAGGGAAGTAATTAACAAACAAAAATTGGGAGTTAAGATTAAGATAATCCATGTAGAACTGCATGACTGAATATACTAAAATATTTTGCATTGCAAACTTCATATAACTTAGCTTTGATTCAACAAATTAATTACCATGGCGGACACGAATAATTTATCTTCCAACACCGTAGAGTTAATTAAAGATGTCGACAGATTTAATAAAATTTTAGGTGATGCAGGAGGGTGAGTTGAATAAAAACTAATAAAAAGATTAAATAAATAATTAATAATCGAATCATAATCATGTCTATAACTATACTATAACTTTGCATACTATAATTATAATAATTATTAATTAGAAATTAGGCTAAATCAAAATAAATAGTAGGCTTTTACTACCTACAAAATCTCCTTCACTATAGCATTTTCATTTTGTGAGTGGGAAAATGTCTTTTGTGGAACAATACATTATTTTTAAAAATTTTATAAATACTACTGCAATTAGGCGCGAGCATAAATATTGCAGAGCTATATTTGTTGAATTCCATCGTAACTGACGTAACTTTCAGAAAAATAATTTTAATTTATATCCTGTATAAATGAAAAAGGCCATTTAAGTGTGCTTAATTTAAATATACATGATACATGTTAATGGGTCTCATGTTGGTTGACTGTAAAACAATAGCATTTATAAATATATAGATTAAGCATCATAGAAAAAAAATACATTTTGGAATGGTAACTGATGTACCATGAAAAAGACATAATATTTGAGATAGCATATATTTGTTGATTTCCTTTGAAATCTGCTTTAATTGAAATATTTTTTTCAAAATAAGTATCTACAGTCTACAGTGTTTACTTTCCAAAGAAAAATGCGGAAAAATGTTAATGACATAAGACATCTCATCTGAATGCAAACAATAAAAAATAAAATAACAATTCTTGTACAGAATTTCAAATTACTTCACTGTAGCAGTTATAATTTACTTAAATTAACATAAATAACAGTGTTTTTATGCTTGTCCATCATAGGACAGTGACCATGACAATGAAAATTGTGATATGTAAATAGTTCTAGTAGTAATCAAAAGAAAATTCCAGTAAGAAAATTTTAAATGATGAATTCCATGTAAAAGTGGACGCAACATCCAAGAATTAAATTGCATAAAATTGGTGCTATATGTAAATAGTTCTAGTAGTATTAATTTTTCAGTCACCTGGTTGTTGTTCATTTTGCTGCATCATGGGCAGAGCAATGTCAGCAAATGGGGGAAGTAATTAATGAACTTTCCAAAGATCCCAAATTCTCACATGTCACTTTTCTCACGGTAAGATTTTTAACTTAAAATAATAGATTTTGAAAATTTGTAAACTATTAATCTCCTAAAAGTTTACATAGTTTCGTTAAATCATGCACGCCTTTCAATACTTTCATGAATAATTAATCAAGAAGTCTAAACCGGTTCAAACTTTAAAAAACTGAAAAGATTTTTAGAAAAAAAACAACACTTTTTCCTTCTATTTTTAGGTAGATGCTGAGAGTTTGGCTGAAGTATCTTACAAATATGAAATTGTGGCTGCACCCACATTTATATTTCTTAAGGTGACATCACTTGTTTTGTTGGATAATTACTTTTGGATTAATTGGATTAATGAGTAGCTTTAAATAAATCTCCTGTCGTAAGTGTAAGGGCTCTTTCATTGGTTATCAGTTTTTATTACTAGACGTGTTTGTGCTGTATTAAATTTTTAATTCCTAAATATCTTACATAAATCCATGCTGCTTTCTGATCTTCATTTCTTACCTATGAACCTTGTTAGTTTCACAATCCAATATTTATGTTTGCTTTATTTTTAGTCTGGAAAACAAATTGATAGATTAGATGGGGCTAATGCTGCAGAACTCACAATGAAAGTAACAAAGCATTCATTTAGCACTGTGGGTGATCTGAATAAGCCATCAGCTAAGCAGGTAAAAATCTAAAGTGAATTATTATGTCTGTAATTTTATAAATTTAAAAACTCAAGTTTTTTATATTGTGTTACATAACTTATATAATTCAGGAAATGAAACAATATGAATGATATTTTTTTATATCGCATGGTTTTTATAATAAAGATGTGTTAAATTTTAATTTCACTGAACACAAATCTTTTTGCAGGACCTCAATGAGAGATTAAAAAAGCTAATCAATTCTGCACCTGTAATGCTGTTTATGAAAGGATCCCCAGAGGCACCTAAATGTGGTTTGTAAAATTTTAATTTTTTTGTTTTCAGGATTTCAAGTGAGAGATCAGAATCTTATATTGGTTTGTTTTATGGGACCATTTTCAGCTTCCATTAAAGGTACAAGAGACAATATAGTTTGTTCTTTAACTTTTAATTAATGATGCTTATGTCCCACCCAAGTGGTTCCCAACCTGTGCTCTAAGAAGCCCCAGGACCTAGAGAGCAGTAAGAATATTTTCTCAAATATAAAGTATTGAATATTAAAGGCTCATTAAGTACACTTTATACCCAATCTTTCAGCATTGGAATTATATTGAAAAGAAAAATTATTATTACAGTTTCTTTTATTTTGCTGTTTAAAAATAACAAGTTTATGTGTTTTGTGACACTACAGGATTCAGTCGCCAGATCACACAAATTTTAACTGAACAAGGGATCCAATATTCAACCTTCGATATTCTATCTGATGATGATGTTCGTCAAGGTGAGACTTTTTCTAAAAAGTTTTAAAAAACTGTCCACTTCATTTTTTTAAAATCTATTTTCTTAAAACTATTTGAGATCATTTTGGAGTGTAACAAAGGAGTTCTTTTCTTATTATTTGGAATTTTTAGTAATCTAGTTTTTTTTTTATAAATCTGTTATTCAAAAATTTTACAGGTCTAAAATCATTCTCAAACTGGCCAACTTACCCACAGCTTTATGTGAAAGGTGAACTTTTGGGAGGACTTGATATTGTCAAAGAAATGGTGGAGTCAGGAGAGCTCAAAGATATTGTTCCTAAAACTGAGGATCTTAATACACGGTGAGTGCTTCTAAAAGGACTTCAAACATATTTAATTTTATGATAATAAGTGGGGGTTGGGGAGGTGGAGGGGACTGCAGTCAGACTAAGCAGAAGGAAATATGTAAAACAAGGTATAGGAAAACCCAAAAAAGGGCATATAAAACAACAAACGTGTCTGTAAGAAGTCTTCTTGGGCAAACACACAGTGAGAAGCACAAATCTAAAAATTAAAATTAATACCAAGTTGAAATGAAGTGTACAAGAGGACAGCAAGAGGAATGCATTAGACTATTAGTAGGTAAGAGAGTTTATAGGCAATAGGGGAAGGAAGACTTGAAGAGCGGAAAAATAAGTATACAGTATTGGTTGTTAAAAGGAGAGGATGGAGAAAAGATTTAACAAGTGTAGGAGAACATGGCATGAAAGAGTCTCATGTCCATTCCCATTTACAGGAAGTCAGATATGACAGTCATTAGAAACTTACCAAATTTTTAGTAAGTTTTAAATAGAAATTAAGAAAAAACAAATTATCTAATTATTTTTTTGTTAGATTATAAAATTTTAGAAATTATTCCAAACTATATTCTAATGTTACATTCAATTAGTATTCTAATAAAATCTATTGTTTGCGTCTCCTAAATATACCTTACCAGCTCTTATAATGATTTGAATCTAATTCTTTGATGGCAGGTTGAAAAATCTCATCAATCAGTCGCCGGTTGTGCTGTTTATGAAAGGAACGCAATCAACTCCTCGATGTGGCTTCAGTAAAACAATTGTTGCAATTCTTGATGAAGTTGGGTGAGTTTCTGTATGCTCTCTGTGTTTGGTTTTTCAGCTGATTTAAATGTTTACCTCAAAATCTTTAATATTTTGCACCCTTTTATTGTTGCTTCTTTTCTCAGTGTCCCTTACACAACATTTGATATATTGAGTGATGAGGAAGTAAGACAGGGTCTGAAGACATATTCCAATTGGCCAACTTATCCTCAACTGTATGTGAAAGGGGAGTTAATTGGAGGCCTGGATATAATTAAGGTAGGACATAATACGGCACAAAAAATGTTTTGTCATAACACATGGCGGACCCGGTTAATCTTAAAACATGGCTGACCAGTTAATCTTAAAACATGGCTGACCAGTTAATCTTAAAACATGGCTGACCAGTTAATCTTAAAACGTGGCTGACCAGTTAATCTTAAAACATGGCTGACCAGTTGGTGCCATCAAAAGTTTGAGACAAGAACTAAGTAACTGTTGGTTTCACATATGAAAATAGATAATTTTGGAATTAAAAATTGTAATAGCTTTAACTCTACTATGTGGTCATCCATAATTGACATCAGACATCTAGGAGAGGAGGCGGGGGTATGAGTTTGTGACAAAGCATTATGAAGGTATCTAAATTGTGTGAACAATTTTTAGACGATGGGGAGAGCAGAGGTCTGAAATCTTGCCGAAATTGCATGAAGTTGTCATGAACTGTATTTAGAAACGTGATTGTTTTTTTATAAAAGTTGTTGATTGTGTGTTGGTAGGAGGTTTTGTGAGGGTGGGTTGTGGTTGGTCGGTTGATTTAAGGTCCAGTGGGGGAGTTGGACTGTCATTATGTTTAGTATCTTTGTTGTGAGAAAGGTCCCAGTCCAAGTTAGTTAGTGAGATGAGAGTGGTCTGAGAATTAGTGAAGATTTTGTTGAGAACATTTGGACAACAGCCATTGGCAGTGATGATGAAGAATTATTATGCTTTCATTTAACGTTGGTTGTTGGTATTAATTGTTGGCCAAGCATGGCTGTGTGGCAGTGAAGTAAGACAATGGTGCCAGTAGAGGGAACAAGGACTGTAACATTTGACTCACGGAATGTCCTGGGAAAAGGTTGTAACATTTCAAAGCGCAGAACTTCCATCAGAAATAAGATTGTAGCAGGCGTCCTTTTATGGACGGACCCCTTAATGAGTTTAGTTAGTGTTTGGTCTTACAGTCATTTAAAATATTTAAATAGTTTTCATTTTCATTACAGATAACAATGGAAAAAGAAATGATTGAAGATTAAAAATAAATATTAAAAAAATTGAAGCATTATTTAGTTTACAGTCATGCAGGGAGAGTGGTTACAAAAAACTTCACTTTAAATACTTGATTAATATTTCCAATTTATTTTTATTTATAGAAATAATGAATCAAAGGTATTACTGTAAACTAATTATGTACAGACAGAAATAAAGTGTTTTCATTAATTGCCAAATAATAAAGATTCAATACAAACAGAACAAATAATTTATGATAGTAGACAGCTCTCTGATTTTACATGCTACATAAGCAGATAAAGAGTTAAATCATCAACTATAACATTTTCTCATAAGTAATTTCTATTATTTCTTTTAATTTAATACAGGAAATGAAGGACAGTGGAGAATTAGAGAGCACCCTGAAGGGTCAATAGAATGACAAGAAATTATGTTACAGAATGACAGTTACAAGTCCAGTAATTTTGCTTTATCTTCAGTTTGCTTTTTCCCTTCTACTATCAGAAATTAGCCAAATATTTGGAATTGTATGATTTGTTTATAACCGCCTTGTACATGTCTGATTTGTATCAGAATATATATTTTTTAATATGGCAATTCATTGTCACCACTTGATAAAAAAAAATCATATACCAGTACAGGTAGTTTGTGAATCGAAAATAGTACAATTAATTATAATCAGGTTCATAATATATTTCTTTTACAATTATGTAATATTTTAAAATGACATAACGGTTTTTTTTTGTTTTTTTTTACAATTAACATTCTTTTTTTATATGATGAATACCTTTATCATCAAAAATTTGTAAAAATATTTTTTTGATTTAGTGCATGCTTTATTAGTTGTGATTTTATTTTTAAAAATGCCAATTGTTGTGTTGAATAATTAAACCTAAAATTTAGATTATTTGGCATCATTCAGTATTTCTTGAATTCAGGCTTGGAAAATTTCAACATGAAGTATGCTGGAAAAGAATGGATTAAAGATTTGTTCTACTCTTCCAACTGATTTTTTGTGTTGTATTATTGTATTATATTTAACCTTTTTAAAACTATCTATCTCTGTTAATGTATTAAATCTTGTTGGATAAATTTCTGTCATTCGGTGTGATGTCTGTCATTTTGTCCTGTTGGAGTGATGTCTGTCATTCAGTCTTGTTGGAGTGACATCTGTCATTGAGTCTTGTTGAAGTGATGTCTGTCATTCAGTCTTGTTGGAGTGACATCTGTCATTGAGTCTTGTTGGAGTGATGTCTGTCATTCAGTCTTGTTGGAGTGACATCTGTCATGAGTCTTGTTGGAGTGAGGTCTGTCATACAGTCTTTGAGGGATGTCCATCATTCAGTCTTGTTGAAGTGATGTCTGTCATTTATTCTTGTTGGAGTGATGTCTGTCATTCAGTCTTGTTGGAGTGATATCTGTCATTCAGTATTGTTGGAGTGATGTCTGTCATTTAGTCTTGTTGGAGTGATGTCTGTCATTCAGTCTTGTTGGACTTATGTCTGTCATTCAGTCTTGTTGGACTTATGTCTGTCATTCAGTATTGTTGGAGTGATGTCTGTCATTCAGTCTTGTTGGAGTGATGTCTGTCATTCAATACATGCAGTTAGCAAATGGCAGCTTTAGGAAGGTACTGATGTGGTTTCTTACTGATAATAACTTTTAATTAATGTTAATCTTATTTCAGTTTGCAATAGATGAAAAGTAAACATGGTATTTTCTATTTGTTAATTGTTGAACATTATCTTAGTTTATTAAGATTTTTTTTTAAATTGTGAGAGAACATTAACACAGTTATGTCCCTTTACAAAAAAATAAATAAAACGTTTTTGGCTCGCAAATTTAATTTTAAGAATATATTTGCTATTAATACTATTATAAATATAATATTTATAAATCATCATTATATAAGAACATAAAAAATAGAATCTCATTTTGAAACAATATTAGTTATTATTAAGCTGGATCCTTTCATCTGAGAAGTGCCGGTAAGTTTCACGTGGGACATGATTTATTTTAAAATCATCCTTAACCCAGAATTTGGCGGTGGTCAAAAGTCTATTTATACACACATATTATCCAGATAGTACAAAGAGATTTCTGCAGTTGCATATGAAATAGTTGACTGTAATCCGCCATTATCTTTTAAACGTTTATGGATTACTTAATGATTAAACTCATAATTTTTTTTTTAATGTGCTATAGACAAGGTTAAAAACACCCATTATCAGTGTTATGTGTTTCACTCATATTATGAAATGTATGCTCAGAAAGACTGGACTGAATTACATATTAATGACTTAGATCAGTGATAGTGATAGGCTAAACCTGCTTCTTTTCGAATGAATCCGTTCGACTCACTTCATTATTGAATAATTGACGCTATTTAACCTTACATTTACATGAACAATTTTTAACATTGATTTACAATTTCTAGCCGATGTATCACTTCAGCGTTGTATCGGTATGCAAGGCCAAGGCGAGAGAAAATCAGCGCCCGGGGCGAAGCCTGAAATTGGCGCCCACCGCTTTATAGAAAAAAAATGTCCACCCAGGGCAGACAAGTAACAAATACGATTTTGGCGCACCTTTCCTTTGTGAAGTTACTGGACCTTTGTGGTTTAATTCAATAGAAATGTCCTATGTAAAAGATGATTTTGGCGCCCGAGGCGATTGTCCCCTTCACCCTTACCTTCGCAGGGCCCTGTCTTCGTTCCTACTGCAAAATGTTATTTTAATATAGGCCTATTTACTAAATTTAAACGAGGACAGTTAAAATATGTCTACTTCTCCAGGTTTCATGTCTACCATCGCTGGCAAATATGTCTACTTCTCCAGGTTTCCATGTGTACCATCGCTGGCAAATATGTCTACTTCTCCAGATTTCATGTCTACCATTGCTGGCAAATATGTCTACTTCTCCAGGTTTCATGTCTACCATCGTTGGCACACAATCCGCCGTCCCACACGCGGCTCCTTAAATATTTTCGTAGCAAATACCGGTATAATCTTCATCAAGTGCAGTTTATGACGTCAAGCTTCGGGGGGGGGGGGGTGGGGGTCACGAAGTTTTCTTCTATAAATTATTGACGGTTTTCTGGGGGGAGGGGGGTTGGTGGGGGTGGGGGCTTATACTCCCAACTACACTGTCGTTTTAGACCAACCCATCACCAGACATATTTTTCAATTTAATTTCTGTAACAATTTAAGAGCATAGATAACGACACACTAATTTGACCGATTCTCGACTCATTCCTTCTCCTATTATTTATAGTTAGAAATTTGTTACAAGCTTTATACCGCCCATAAACAATCGTTGCAAATTCTTGAAAACTCCCACCCGACCCTCCCCATTAAGGGTCGGACCGTACCAATCGGCAGCCAAATTTTATACGGAATGTGATTCCGGTTAGATGTTTGTGTCCCACCCCTCTTTGGCAGTCTGCCTTATTAATTCCATTCAGGGGCGAGTCCACTTGGGATCCCCGGGGTAGGAAGGTGGGGTGGAAGGGGATGTCCGCCCGGGTTGTACTTCTTTAGTGGCGGCATTATTCAGTCAACTGAAGCATATTGTTGTATCATGCGTTTTGGTGTGTCTTTGGTATTATATATATATTATTATTTTTTTTGCTGGGAGGCAAAATCCAAGGATCGCTCATAAACTCTAACGACATCACTGCCACCGGCTGGGACATCATGAAAGGGAGCGCATGCAAGTTGCGTGTCATAGCAAGGGTTGAATTACGTGTGACATCAGTGCAGAGTGAGGGCCATTATTTACTTTTCAGTTGTTAACCTTGCGTTTCATCAAACAAGATCTCTATATGATTTTGAGAACTACTCAAGACTTCCTGAAATAGGGGATAAGCGTCCTTCAACTGCCGGTTCTCATATGAACGGGGCCCCTTCTAATCTAGAACTTTTCAAAATCATTATCATTAACTTATCATATTAGTTGTATGCTTTTTCTCGTCATGTCGCGACGGCTAACTCGGATGTCTAGTTAGTATTATTCAGAATGGACTATAACTCCTATCTCTCTCTCCCCTCTATGGATCTATATCTTTAGCTCTATCTCTCTCTAGCTGTCTTTTCACTCTCTCCTCTTGAATTCTTCCTCTGTCTCGCTCAGTCTCTGCTATTAAGCTCTATCTCTCATGTCTAGCTCTATTCCACCCCCTTATTAAAAAAAAAAAAAATAATAAAAAAAAACACGAACAACTATTTTTTTGTCCCCCTTGGTATCTAACAACAAACATTAAATGTCACTGTTTCGTAATGCATGAAGGTCCCCCCCCCCTACTCTCCCTCCTTCTCCTCGCACCCCGTCGGTGTTCATGGGTTAATCACGGCTGGCTGACGCTGACGCGTTTTGCTAAATATAACCCACGAGTCGCCCAAACATTGAGGCATCCAGGGACCGAGTACTTGGCGAGCGCGGGCTTTTCACAGCGACGAGTTCTGTGCCAGGTGTAAAAAAACCACGAGCTTTTTTTTTATTTATTTATTTCACCCGAGGATTGTGTCCGTCGGGAGGAAACACACCTGAGATAACACTTAGTTACCCTGGAGATATTTTTTTTCAAAGGTATGTTTATACCATGTAGGAATGGTCACTTTTTTGTAATAGATGACCCGCTAGCTCGTAAATCTCGGATGTTTGTGAGTTCTGTTTTTACTTTAATTATAAAACTCAGGTGAGTGCATGTTTCTAACTTTATTTCCGTGCTCCAGCAAGTGAATGACTGAAAGAATTCAACGGTAGCGAAATACACACATACACACACACCTGTTCAGATGCCCACACAATAATGTTATCTTGACTTGCAGCCATGCCCATTTCTCCCATGCGTTTGGTGTATTTTTTTTTTTTTTAATGAAACACATAATTTGCCGAAACTGAAATGAAGAAAATAAAATGACTTGACTTTCTTGATGAAATGCCGCATAAACTGACCCAATTTTTACCTTAGTAAATTTGCTCTGTCTTTAAGTTATGAAACTACGGTAACACTTCACTTGCATTCTATCATATTTGATCTCAGAACATTCATAATAAAAACTTTTTAAAAAAAGAAAAGATATTTAGGAATAGGGTAACTCTGAGAAATTTAAGCAAAACTAAGTCCTCCCCCCCCCTCCCCCCCCCCCC